TCGGTTGTGTCCGATAATATTTTTAACGGCGGCAGACTCGATACAAATTTAATGTATAAGCCAAAAAATTATCCACGGCCCTTAAAAATAAACCGCGTATATTTTCTAAAATGTTTTCGACTAACGTGTTTTTTTTTTTTTTTCTGTTTACAGGCGGTATTAACTCGGCTACCAGGAACCCGTTGTGGTAATTGTAAACCAAAAACCAACCACGATATTGCCGTGTTGCCTGGCGCGACTTTTTTTGGATTGACCAAAAAAAAAAAACGTGTACATAAAAAAAAACCGAGCATTAGCTCGCGAGACCCCCAACCAGATTTTCTCGAAATCAATCTCATAACGTGTTTTCCCACGGGCGAAAACACATTTTATTCATTATATTTATAATAATATTATTATTTATTTATATTATTACTATGTATCTTTGTGCGTAGATAGGTCGCGACTCCCCCCCCTCCGCGTTTATCTGTACGTTTGCAATATTGCAATTTATTATTATTTAACCGGTTGATTAGTGTATATTATTTATGACGATTATTAGAAAAAAAAATATGACTCCTGCCAATATGTTACGGCGGCGTATAAGTACGTATTTTGTCCGTTTTATTTTTTTATAGTTACGACTAATGTTTATCATAGGTATATGATTGTAAGTGTACGCTCGGTATATTATTATTATCATCCATCACCACCGACAAAAAATAAATATCACACCGAAGATATTATTATAATATTCCTTTGAAAATTTAAATGAAATCATAGATTTTCTTTTTCGATACGCGTAATAATATTATTTTTATTGGAAAAACTACCAATATGATTTCCGAGTGTTTTATAATGATGATAGGTAATATACAGGGGGCGGCTATAGTACTTTCAATGTGAAGCAAACAGATGGGCAAACTTCAGTATGTGCAATTTAGAAATTTTTTTTTTTTTTTTGCGGTCATACTGACTTTCGCCCTACTGGCTATTTCACTATCTTAACTAAACAATTATATTATGTTAGTTCGTCTCTGTATATACTCTGTGGTAATATATTATTACACCGTGTTCCGTGTATATACAAAATATTTTATCATTATTGCCTACTATTTTTTTAAAAATTTTTTTTTTTTTTTTTTGTTATATTGTTGTTGTTTATCATTATTATTATTATTATTATTTATTATTATTATTCTCCCCTCTCCGTTTGTAAATCGGGCGCCGCGTGATTATTATTCGCACGCGCGTGCGCGGATAAAAGTTATATGAATATTATATTTACATATATAAATATATACCTAGCGTATAACATTATTATTAATTATTATTATTATTAATAATTATTGCGCGTGTTCGCTTGTCCTATGGTATGTCCCAAGTCTCTCTCTAAAACATTATTAGACTCGTTTGTGTTGTATGTGTACATAATATATTATTAAATAGAAAAAAAAAAAAACAATATAAATATATTTGTGTATATCGCGGGACTTTTTTCTTTTTTTTTTTTTTTTCCGACTCTTCTTGTATAATTGTTTGTTTATACCAAGGCGTGAACGATTTTTTTTTTTTTTTTATTTGTCTATTTTCTATTATTATTATTATTTTTTTTTTTTTCATTATTATTATTATTTGATGTATAATATTTTCGTCCTGCGGTCGAATGTTATTAACTTTTCCTATAATATATAACGGAACGGGAGGGGAGGGAGCAAAACGGTTCCCAAAATAAACAAAAACGCGTTCCGCACGTTAAGTTACTATAAATATTATTATTGATGCGTTAATTGTATATTAAAGCGGATAGATCGTAGTAAAAAAAATTTAAAAAAAAAAAAAAAAAAAAAACGATGTTTTGACAAAACTGTAATCAAAATAACGCATCATTCCTCATGTCGATGTGGTTAATTTATATATTATATACATTGATTTTTAATTGATATTTTTTTATTATTATTATTATTATTATTATTATTTCTTTTCTTTAACTTTTAGTAAGTTAATATTAATTTTGAAAATCAAAAAAAAAAAAAAAAAAATCGAAAAATGGCGCTTTTATTATCATCGCTGTTTTTTTTTTAATTTCCCACCGCCGCCGTTCGACGGACGAGACGTCCTTGATCCGCGGACTGAGAAAATTCGACACCGACCAAAAACCCCTTTATCACATTGTTTATCTGGTAGATTGAGGGGAGACGAGAGGGCATAAAGTTCCGTCGTATACATATATGTATTTGTATTTGATATATTATTATTGTTATTGACGGAACACCGTGTCGGCGGCGCAAAAAAAAATAAAATGTACGGTTTTCGATTTGTTTTTTTTTTTTTTTTTTTTTTTTTTTATTTTACATTACGATTATTATTGTACTTGTACTTTTTAGCCGAATCGTAAGCGCAGACTTATTTTATTATTATTATTGTGAATTATTATTACGATGATAATGATGATGATATTGATGATTGAACATTGTATAATAAATTCGATTTTTCTGGAAACAAAAAAAGTTTACTAAATTATTATTATTCTTAAGCGACGATCGTATATAAATAACACTTGGTGTATTAATTTCATTATTATATATTATTATATAATATTATATTATTATACCGTTTATTATTATTATTATTATTATTATTATTATTGTATACCATTTTTAAAGACGGATAATTATTATTATTATTATTATTATTATTATTATATTATTAAAATAATAAACCTACCAGAAAATCACAGATATTTTTCGAATATTATTATTATTATTACCTATACGTGATGTTCACACCTTTTTATTAATTATTATAAAACAGATTTATATATAAAAAAAATTTACACGCGTCAAAAAAAAAAAAAAAACATATTATGTATAATGTTAATTTATATATATATATATATATATATATATATGAAACGTTTCTCGTTAACGAAACGAACTTTTTGTTAGTACGTAAACGTATAATATTATACTTATATGTGTTACTAGTCGTCCGTGCCAAAAAGAAATAATATCAGAAAAATAATCATCCGTGTCATCAAGGTAACGCATAAATTACCAAAAATATTTAGATTTTCGAACCAAAATCACCAATAACCGTGTGTCAGCCCCCTTCAGGAGTCGAATACTAAGGGAAGGAAATAACTTGTGTGTTATTACCGATCTAAAATTACATCTTTGCACATCTAATACCTATATCCATATCTAATGTCTATACATCTAATTACATCTATGTATCTACGATTCAACCAAATCCGTTCAGTATTTTTGGCGTGAAAGTGTAACAAGCATCAACCCATCCGTCCATCCATCCAAATAAACTTTCGCATTTATAATATAAGAAGGGTATATTATACTTATACTTATGGTTTTACAAAGGTGTTTATTTCTCTTTTCTGTGGACAACATTTCAACCAGAGAACTTTCTGTGAGTTTTACGTGTAGCACTTTTTCTGAAAGGAAATCGATGTGAGGGAGTACTTTAAAGAGGTCAGTTTTCGATTTTCCCAGCGTTGTCATAACCGGGAGAAAACATGGAAAAATGTAGGAAAACCGAGAAAATCAGTACAACATTAAAGAAATATTATTAAAGAAAATATATTAAGAATATTTAATTATTTTATTATAATATGGTACATATATATTTTTGATAAAGCATCATTATCAACTGAACTTCGCTGAGAATCGTTTTTTCGTAAGCAATAGTTTATCGTTGCTTACAGGTGTACATTAAATTACCTATAACAGTGGCTGCACCCGTCCCCATTATCCTAGGACGTATTTTTATTAATACGTTTTGACTTGAACTAATAATTGTTGTAAATCAACTAAAGCTTAAATAGCTGATAACAGTCGGCAGATATTATGGTATAAAATAACAGTCGTTAAATATTGTTCTCGGAAATCGGCAAAATTCACTCCAAAAAATAAACTCAAAGATCACCCCTGATACTGACCTCCATAGTGTTATACTACATGACAAAACCGACTGAACCAAAACAAAATACACACTGCGTAAAGTGAGTAAATCGAATATCAGATTTAATTCTCTGAACACATAAAAAAGCTCCCTTAATCTTTTTATATTTACATTTATTTATGTTTTCCATTTCATATCTTCATCAAAAAAATTCCTAAATATTTATTTTTAGAAACACGAGTTAATTTAAAACAATCCGAGTGGCATCTCAAGTTTATCGAGAGCTTAATCTTTATTTCACTACCGATTTATAAGAGAGAGCAATAAAATCCGAAAATTGTGTTTTAACAGGTAAAACTTTTTAACTATACGTTGAAATAATGTAACGATATTAAAAAATCAACAAATTAAAAGACATCTTAGGATAATAGGGGATGGTACAGCCACTGTTATAGATAATTTAATGTATATCTATAAGCAACGATTAACCATTGCTAAAGGAAAATAATAATATTTGTTTTATTGTATCGATTTTCCCATTTTTCTTCAGTTTATTTTTTTTTTTTTGGTTTTTCAAATTTGGTGAGAAAACCCTCAAGAAAATCGAAAAATACCTTCCCTGAAGTACCTCCTCACACCGATTTTTTTTCAGAAGAAGCTCTTACCATAAGATTCTTCGCTTCACTCAGAATCTAATGTATGTCATTTGATATTTTAAAAGAACGTATTAAGGTGTGTCCACACCTAACAAACATTTGGGGAAATATTGTTTGTCAGACGTTTGCCGAACATTTGTCGAACGTTTGAAAAACATTTGTCGAACGTTTGTCAAACATTTTATTAATGACAACAAACGTTTGTTTATTTGTATGTTCGCTATATGTTTGCCATCAGTCTTGACCATGTCAGGTATAGATCAAGTCGCATACTGCATTGGCGTTGCTGCGTTTGTTATAATGCGTAATAAAATATCAAAAAAAAAAAAATTAATAAAAAAAAAAAGGTGGTGGGAAAGACAACTTTTTCAGAGAAGGAAGACTTACAGTGGTGAGAATTTAATTTTAGATTTACATGACAGTGATTTATTTAGTAATTTTACCAGAATGTCAAGTATTGATTTCGAATTTTTAATTAATTTAATTGGCCCAAAAGTCACAACAGAAAACACTAATTTTCGTGAAAGTATTTCTGTGGCAGTGCGTTTAGCAATAACTTTAAGATTTTTATCAAGTGGTGATTCATATCATTCTCTAATGTATACGTTCAAAATATCGAAGCAGTCAATATCGCAGATTGTACCTGAAGTATGCGTAATTTACAAACATACATTCAAAATGTTCGCTTAGTGAGCGAACATTTTTGTTTGGATTATTGACAAACAAATTTGTTTAGAAACACTTCTACAGAAACGTTCGAAAAACATTTGTTTAACGTTCGACAAACGTTTGCTATTTTTTTTTGGTGTTCGGCGAACGGTCGACAAACGTTTTTCTTATTGTTTGTTAGGTGTGGACGCAGCATTAGGAATATTTGGTATAAATAATTAATTACTGTTACAAATACAAATTTTATTCGTATAAAACTGTTATAAATACAAATTATAGATTAAAAATGAATTATTATATTGAATTTGAAATTTTGTATTTAAACCGATATTTCTTATTGGTCGTAATATTGCGAAAGGGGATAATGTGTAAGCCCACATTAAATAATTTCTGTCAGTAATTTGAATGTCAAAACTATTTTACTAGATTCATAATTTCGTATTTTATATAATTATTTCAGCTCCGTTTCGCCAGCACTCATTTTCAAATTTTAGTACCAAACCTACACAGTATTATGTACTTGTTTGTACAATTTCGTACAAATTAAATGAAATTTTGTACACCTTCCTCCCCAACACGAGAAAAATTGATTTTGCTATGCGCGTGCTGGAGAAACGTTTCCTCAACACTGCCTTTGCCAAATTTTGAACAAATTCGATTTTCAATGATGCTGTAACATAATTTTCATTATGAAACGGAGCTAATTATTGCATCGTTTATCACAATACATTGATTCTCAACATATATTTATTGATATTTGCCTGTAACAAATAACAATATTGTATAAGTCCATTTTATTGAACGACAACTTCATATCTCTCTTTCTATCAACATTGGTATAATTCAGGGATATTGTACGTTAAATGAACATTTACCATTACGGTTATTGGATGTAAATAACACATATATAAACGAAAAATAACGAAGATTATTTTTTGTAGGAAAATGGCAAAAATACAAATATTTTGTATATATACGTGATCAATCTATCATAAGACACTCATTATTTCGGAAATTCTAGAACATTTAAAAAACAAGCTGCTCTACAATTTTAAATTTATGTTATTTATGTTATCCTTTTTTTAGGGGTAAAACAACCCCGAACTACCTACTTTTGAATTTCGAATGGCAAACTAAATTAAAAATTCCATAAATAGATGGAGTATTATTAAAAAATAAATATAAGTGTTGAAATTTGGTTTATTTCAATCCATTGACGAGATATTCCTCGTTTAAGTTTGGGTTGGAGGAAAGTAGTGGAGTATTATTTATAATACCGGTACAGCGCGCAGCGTATTAATAATGCACCACCACTTTCTCCTAACCCAAACTTATAAGTGGAATAATTTGTCAACGAATTGACGGAAATCAATAATGCCAACACCAAAATTGATTTTATATATGATCTATTCGTAAAATTTTTTTTATATACATTGTTATTTGAAGATCAAAAGTAGGCACACTATTCAAATATTTATTTACACGTAAATTTTTCGTTTATTATTTATATAAAATATAAATACATTTATTTTGTACGTATATTTTGCTTATACAAGAACTTTCTTGTACAATTTTTTTAAAAGTTTTATCATTGTAAATCGGAGAAAAATTGATGGTAAAAAAGTTGTGCACGAGAAAAAAAAAGGCCGTAATATTTTTAACTAATACCCACATTTCTTACATTTTCTCGTTTTTCTTTGGTTTTTTTTTCGGTGTTTTACATTTGTTGAGAAAACTCTTGATAAAATCGAAAAATTAACTCTCTAAATTACCATCCCAGTCAAATTGCCTTTTAGAAACAATGCTATCATTACAAATTGAAACAAAATTGCCTGTAAAAAATTTGTCCACAGAAATATAATAGAAATAAACATCTGTGTAAAACCATAAGCTTCTTTGCTCTACTCAGAATCTAAAAAAGTATATTTGTAGATTAACCTCATTATGTTGAACCCAACTATTGGAGGGAAAAATTTGATATAATACTAATATTATAAATTATATTTTATGTCATATAAATATTAAGTAAAACAACGGTATATAAAAAATAAAAAATATCACAACTTTCGCGTTCAATACATAATCCGAATGCATTTTTATAAAAATTATACGCTCAACTCGATCGTCCGCAATAAGTTACCCGCAGACGTTCATCAAATTTTTGTTACCTACATTAACTATGTTCGATAAACTTGCTGTCTCGTTATATGTGTTGACACCAGATGTTTTTGTTTGATTTATATAGATATTCAAATTATACAATCGGTAAAAAAAAACAAAAAAAAAATTAAATATTATGGTTTTCGTACATTTATACAATATTTGTGGCGACATCTAGACGTCATTACATCTATTCTGTTGTCTTTTATGTTCTATACTATACTTTGGTACTCACAGCCAGGTATGATTGGTACCAATACCACTATATGTTCACGTTACCATGGACAAAAATATTATAATTGATCAGCATCGAACAGATTGAGAAAATTGGGGAGGGGGATAAATTTAAAATGTTTTGCTTCTTCCCTCAATCCAAAATTCATGTAAAATCCGAGTGATCCAACGTCATCTATAGTAGCATAATTTAGGAAATATAGTTCTACATCCCAGATATCATAGCTCTTGTTGGAGTGATCTGTTTCCTTTGACATATTTTTGACGGATTGTTAAATAACACATAATAGCATGTATAATATTTTTTATTTTTTAAAATAAAGAAGTGCTCCGTTTTAGAATGTTATAGCTATCAAATACCATTATAATTCGATGGTTGTTATTTTTTTAGACAAAAAGACTCCAAAGTCCTTTTATCTCAGTATTTTATATTAACGTTCAGCTCCTATAAAAAATTTATTTAGATCTAGCACGCTTTCATGTACTGTTGTTTATAATGTCCTAATTTAAAAAATATTGATCGTTATAAAACGATCTCACCCTTAATTAACAGTTGGCCCAGATGATGCACACAAGTCCCCCCTACCCGGTAATTAATACATTTATTACCGTTTAGGACCGAAGCCGTCAATATAATAAAATATGTGGCCACAAGGAAAAGTCTCAGCAAAGAAGTAAGGATAATAAAGAATATTATTCCTTGATTATTTTCAAAAAAATGGCCATGTAGACCAGCATTTAAGGGGTTGCGTATAGGCCAATTTAATGACATATCTAAATGGAATTTTACATCTCGGATATAATGTTTAAATTCGCTTTCAAACAATTATAGAAGACCTTTTCAAGTAGTACCGTTTGCGATTAACATATCAATGTTATTATATAAATCAGTAATTGAAAACCAGAAACAGGATCAGACCACTGCAATGACACATTGTCTTTGTCGCTTTCCACCGATTAATTACGCGTACGTATATATAAATATAATAATATAGCATATATAGCACTCCCGACAGATATAATTCGAGTTTTAATTGTATACAATAGGCGCAAGCAAACCTTTAAGCTAAAAGACATACTTAGTTATATCAAAAAATTCAGTTTCATCAACATTAAAATATTGTACTGTCTAAAACTTCAATAGAAATTCATGTTTTTTTTTTTTTTTTTTTTAACGCAATTTCGTAAACACTAGGTGTGGAATTTATTGATAGCGTAAAGTTGTTCGCGACACGGTCAATGTGTTATAATCGTAAATGATATAGATGAGTATTTTTTTCAGTAATTAGTTAAAGAGGTGGGAGGGGGGAATCTCTCTTTTTATATAATGAAATTTAAAAACTGGAATTAGTTTTATTAAAAACAAATTCTTTAATAATATTTGGATTATAAATAATCAGAATTTATTTTTACTGAACAAACATATGTGAAGATTATATTATATTTTGGGAGGGAAAGCAGTTTATTTTTTAACCATATTAGCATAAATTTTGTAAGATTAAATGTGTGTGGAAGATAATTATTTTCAAAAATTTGTCTCCATGATCGGCTTTCTAACAGTTTGGTTGGGTTTAAATGAATAAACGGAGATTTTGCGCCTAAATTTGTAATAAATGTAGTCCCCTCCTCGAAAATTTGCTGACAGGTTATTATAGTATTTATGGATGAAACCAAGTTTAAGATCGAGTCACCAACTATAATTTTAAAAAGAAGATCATTTAATATTTAAATTATTGCTTATAAAATATGTGTTTGATATAATATTTAGATATAAAATAATAACAAACGAATTTAGGTGCTTAAGAAAAATATTTATACTACTTTTAGTAAAAACAACAAATTAATATTGCATACTTTTAAATAATAATAATAAAAAAAAATGCCATATGAAACATTAGGATCATGTTTAGATTGTCAATCAACAAATTTTACATCTATCATCCATTTTTTATTGAATAAACCATTTCTATGTCACGGTAACTTTATTATATTCGCATCATCTTTGTTATTTACATAAGTTTTATTCACTTTAGTCAATACTTAAATGCATAAATAAACAACTCAAAATACACAGTAAAATAAGTGTTTTAAAATGTTATCATAAAAATCATATGATTTGGTGACGACGTCTATTTAAGGGGTTCAAGTTAGATAATATACTATACACGTGCACATTGCGTGCATTGAACGCCGCCAAATTGTTTTATTTTATTATTATCTATAAACTCTGGGCCACCAGTCACCACCCATATAAAACAATAAATATTCTTTATAATTTCGCCGTGATAAGAACTTTAAATTTCAGACATTCCGATACTTTTTGTTTTAAATTCTGAGTGGAGCGATTTGGATTTTGTTCCAAATTTCTAGAATAGCATCATATCTGAAAGAAAAATGTGTCTATTTGATGATTGTAAATATTATAGCCTTTGAAAACATGTATAATTGAATTTCACTCAGAATCATTTTTCGTTATCAATAGTTTAACGTTGGCTACGCAAGTATAAATCAAATAACTTTATATATGTATCCCATTTTCCTCCCTACCCACCTAAAACAGTGACCACACGCTTGCAAACTTCCCTAGTATCAGCTCTTCTTTTTTTTTTTTAACTTCGTCTATAAGTTTAATTGGAAAAAAAAAACAAGAAACGCGAGTTTTTTTGATTAATACTCAATAAAATATCAAGTAAAAATAAAAACAATTAATAAAGTAATGAAGTATACAAAGAAATTACCCCTAAGACTCAATATCTCGGAAATATTTTTTCCGGAATTTGATCTATAGAAAATCAAATAAATAAGCAACTCTATAATGTTCCATTACCGTTATTTATTCTCAACCTTATTTCTGGAGATGGAACGACTACGTATTTTTGGTACTCAAGTAGTAACCTATATTATAAATTCTATAAATAAATGAAGTTTTGGTGTAATTAATAGGTATAAATTGTATAATAAGTAACGTAAAGCCAGTCAATGTTTTTTTTTTACACAAGTGGAATCTCTTCCAAGTTTTGAATCTAATAACCTAATTTAATTTAATTAGTAATTAAATAAAACTTTTTAACTAAGAGTTTTCTAACGTGCATAATGTATAGATGTATATAATAAAAACAGCTTTGACCTAATGATAAGCAATAAGCATTGTCTTACCAGTTTCAGATCCTTCAACTAATTACATATTAATTGTTGGAGGCTCAAAGTCATTTATTTCATATAGTGATTCAATATAAATCAATAATAATAATTTATATTTAGATAGTTAGAAAATCCTATATAACAAAAACAAGTTTTAACCATTAACAAAACGTGTTCTTTTTAATAGAAAATAATATTACTTATTTATTTACAAAATCTGTTTTTTTAAGTACTATTAAAATCATACAAATGTAAATTTATTAACTTATTTCTTTTTAAGCTACTATAACGCAACCACTAACCAAAATGATAGATTGATGTTACTACCAACAATATTGTATTTATGTTTTATCATATTTTCTACACCGATTTACTTTCAGAAAAAGTGCTTCATTTAAAAATCTGAGTAAGTCTTTTGGTAGAAAAGTTGCACACAGATAAAAAAAAATAAAATAAAATAAACATATTTGTATTTAATGTACGAATGTTCCAAACGAAAAAAATATACATAAATAAGTATACCTATAACATAATAATATGTAGGTATCATTATATTATGTAAAATAGTTTTTTCAAACATTAGTTGATTTCAGCGTGTCTTCAAATGAACACAGGAGTTATTCAAGGAAGAAAAAATGACTGCCACGATTATGATCTGATCGGTACCGCAGTCCATAACCGCATACCTTTAGTTGATAGCTGATAGCATGGACTCCGAACTTAATTTTTACGTACGGTCCGTTCAAGGTTTCTAAAATATTCTATAAACCTTGTGTTGCGCTAGCAATATTTGATAAGAAGGCCCAATGCTTCCTAAATTTGTATACAATGTTGCCTATTCAACTCCTGTAATTGTACTGCTACTAGTTTAATAAGTTGCCTACCCAACACCAAAATGTTTATTTTTTTAAAATTCTATTGCTATCGTTCAACTTTGTACCTATGTTGTCGACTCCAGCTACTGAAATGGTTTAATTTGTTTGTTTGATTTTTAAAAGAATATTTCTATACCTATCTTCCAGAGAATATTTTTATTTAAATATTACCAATGCTCCTGGTTATTATTATTTGATATTTTGAAATTAAATATTTCATTTTAATTAATTAACAAAATTAATTAATATTGTTTTTGTAAAAATAGGTAGGTAACTATTTCTATAATAGTTTTGGTTAAATAGATATCATGATTATTATATATTATTTCTATAACCTATTACAACCTATAGATTTTTAGTTGTACCTAATAACGATAACAATTATATATTTTTTTATTGGTACCTACCTACTTATTATAACATCTTTATAAAACTCACCTGTAGACACAATATTATTACCTATGTTGATAATAATATTGAAAAGTATTGAGGAAAGTCATAATAATATTAATTCTTTCCATAGAAGGCATCAAATATCAATAATTTAAATTAAAAATAAAATATACCTTAAGTATATGAAACAATGGTAATGATAATATATACCTATGTAATATGAATTTAGTTTACCAAATATTAGATTGGATAGAAAGGTATACTCAGATACCTGAGTAGTAAAATAAATGAAATAAATACAGTACAAATGTTTTGCCTACGCTTATGATATAAGTATGTAGGTATGTACCAGGTTAGTCTTAGTGTGGGTAATTATTATATTTGTTGTCAGACATACCCATAGTTATCTATGGTACATAACCGTGGACCACTGGACATATACAATGTGTTTGTCTTGGAGGAGATGATTTTATCGAGTAATCACCAACTTGAAGATTGGCTTCTCCTCACAAGTTACCTTAAATTATAACAACTTGTAGGTACCTAATTACAAACTACATTCCCGTTAATAATTATATTAGGTACGATGTAATATAAAAACTTATATTTATTTACGTAAGCCACTGACTAGTAAAGGCTAAAATATTATATCGACAACGCTACCTATATATATTATATGATATTTAGACATTATTTTATTATTGTACTGTAGGAAAACTATGTTAAAAAAACAAATATATCCTCTCGTCCGCATAACGGCAGCACACGGTACATACTATAAAATCTCTTCGTAACTAATGAAGGAAAAATCAAAACTGACGAACCTTCTCCCAAAAAAACTTCATTTTTGGGCTGTATGGAAATATATTTATTCGATATTATTTGAATTCGTCGTACATTGGAGAATAACCATGGTTTATGTTTTAAGTACTAAATGTCTAATAAACTTGAATAGGAGGTAGCTAATAAAAAATAATTTTCCCGATGATTAACCGCAGCTATTAATATAATTGACTAAGTAAGATTTTTTTTTTTTTTTGAATTTTCACTAAAGGACGTGATCCGTAAGTATTGTCTCCGTTTTACAAACGTATGACACAGCACATTCACATTCAACAGAGACAGTATTGTGCCAGTGCCGGCCCGATAGATTTCGGGACCCAGTGCAGAATTTTACGGGGCCTCATATATATTTATTTATTTTATTTTCTGACGGACTTACTTCATTTTTATATAATTTTATATACTTTAGAGTTTTGTTAAATATCTAAACTTGTATACCTATATATAAACTAATAAAATCAAATTTGTATTTTGCGGACCCAGACATCTCGCCACCGTCTTACTATTCAGAATATGTTTACTTTGGAATTAAGGTTAACTGTTAATACCTTTGTGTGTAATCCTATAACTGACAACCAATTTTTAGGGCGGAGTAAAATTTTTGCTGAGCAATATTTGATGACACTTACTTTTTATTATTATTATTATTATTATTTTTTTTTTTTTGGAGTTTTGGGGGACGAGGGGAGGTGGTCTCAAGTTTTAACCCCCACTTCCTCTACCACTGAAAAAAAGGCACTGGTTATAAATTCTATATAATTTCTACTAAAATTATTTTACAAGCTGCAGATTATTGCTTTACACATTGTGTACTACAGTAGTCGTTAGTCAAATTGCTAGGTTTTGGCGGCAAGTCGGTGGCTGCGAGATGTCCTAGACCCTGTATTTTTATATTATACATAAAATGAGTAAGTACCTGTTTAATTACAAACAATATTTAGTTTAACATAATAATTGGTACCATCATGATTTTCGTCGATAACAACTCGTGTCCTAAGAAAACCACACGGCCACACGGCACATGGATCTAAATTTGCTTTCTATTGGGACAATATTATTATGATTATTTAAAGATAAAGTGATATTCGGAATACATAATTTGTGGTGTCTGGTGCCACACCGCTTGCACTGCCCTCCCCCCCCCCTTAGGGCTGACACTGTATTGTGCTATAATTTTTAAATTTTAATATAAGAAATATTACCTAAAGTGTATTATTATATCATTAACAAATTTTAAGACAATACCATTATACAGGTAACGTATTTTATAGATATTTTGATTTTTAAACAAGATATAAGTAGGTATGTGAAATATCACAATTAAATAATCAATAATGAATATGGAGAATGTTCACTTGAAAATTAAAATTTTGAAAAAAAAGCACCAGTGTTGTACAGATAATATGCTTATACTTAAGTTTTATAATGGATCCTTACTGAAAGTTAATTTTTTATGTCACAACACGTCCTCTTAAGTGTTTAACTAATAAATAGTGTTAAACAAAAAGATTTTGCATTTTTTTTAAACACTTCCCTTTATAAATTCCTGGTTATGCGCCTGATCAACAGTATTTATTTTTTTCGGCTTTATAACATATAACACTAAACAAATTTACCATTTTTGATCTCTGACCTACAGCAATCATGTCTATTAGCATTTTTGAACCGAAAGGCACTTAAAAGTCCAACCGAGAACTTATCCTTAGGATAGAAACATATATATGACAGACCTACAAATCGTTCCAAGTTTTGTGATAATCTATTAATATTGACAGGATTTTTTTGAAAATTTAAGCGGACGTAAAACATAATACGAGAATTGTTATTGGTCCGTAAGAGCAAAACGCTAGTATGAAAGGTTAGATAAAAAAAAGTTCTAATTGAAAACGAGACATAGAAAGTGACATAGAAAATGTTTGTCCAAATTAAATACGTCGTTTCTCTGAATCGGTGCATGAGTTCTCTTAGATATTTCGGAGGCTTAAAGAGAGTCTCTTGTACGTTATTTTTATATCATGTCCGAGGTTCAATATGTCCCGGAACACCTTGGCATATCAGTTTGAAAATGGTGCTATTTTAACGTGTTATTTTCTATTATTTATAACCAGGAAATCGGGCTGTTAAAAGAAGTGTTTCGGGGTGAAATGTTCTAAGCCGACCACAATGTCTTAAAGTACTCTTCTCCATCTTTATTTTGGTGAAAGAAAACGGGGTACTCCGAATTTCCTTCTATTCCTGAACGAGCCTCAATGTCGACCACCATGTTCGGATTACTGCGACACACGTTACTGTCATCCATTTATTGCCGAGCCCGTGAAGGGGTTGTTATGGGATGAAATGTGCTTAATCGATCACACTGTCTTATAGTACACATCTCCATCTTTGTTTTGGTGAATGAAAACAGGGTTCCTCGTTGATTAATACAATCAATTTTAATTTTGTTCCAACAACTTTATACCAAAACTAATTTTAGTATGTAAAAACATAATAAGGTTTAGTTAAAAAATTTGAAATAATAAAATATTTATGTGTCAAAAATCTTAACACATCAACTAATATAAGTATCAATTTATTATCAGTTATTCATGTTTTTTTCTTTTGAATGTTTAAATAGAGCTTTCATTGAATTTTTAAAAATGTACCGAGACCAGATTAGTACATTTCTTAAATAAAAATCTTTCTTTACTAATAAATAATTTGGTTTCAGAACCGGGTTATCAATTAATGATCTATTTTTTGATGTTAATGATTTTATTTGAAAAATTATAAAGTATTAGGAATATTTTTGACATGCAAACAACTTTTGATTGTGGAAATAATGAAATATTATTATTTAAATTAAACTAATTAGAGGAATACCAAATGCATTTATAAAATCGTTTTTAAGCTAAAGAACTCAAATAGTTAAAACAGATGAAACTTATAGTAAAGCTCTTAACCACAAGGTACAGTACTATTCCCTATACCAGGGGTTGCCAATTAGTCGATCTTTAATGGATAAACATTTAGATGGTTGAAAAATGTTGCTTTTTGTATTTGATAATGACTTTGCAACCGTCTCTGATAATACTAATTGTATAAACTGTCCAAATAGTGATAAATTGGTAATGACAGTAATATAAATGAAAATTTAGATATTTGTATTTCAATAGTTGAAAAAAATCAATTCAATTTTTCTAGCTGTAAAATTACCTTTGACAGTAAGTATAAATAAGTATGAACTAGTTAACCATATTGATATTGTATCTAAATTCTAATAATACTAACATAAAATATGATATATTTTTATAAGGATACAATGTAATATATAATAATATTATATACTTAATGTACATTTTTTTGTTAAACTAATATCATAAATATTCAAAGGAAATTGAAATTAAATATTATATAAACACCAGTATTGAAATAAATGAAACTTATGATATATTATAATTCTGTTTTATTTATTTTGGGAACAATATTATTAAGCAATAATAATTACTATGCCATAGTTAAATATATTGTTTTTAAATACTTATACACACATCTTTGAAATAATGCAAGGAAAATAATGTGTTTTAAATAGGCACTGAATTTCAACCTAATTAATATATTTTAGTACAATATTTTATTTTTAACACAATAAAGACTATATATTCACAATATAAAAACAACACAATGTTTTTAAAACTCAACTTAGTTATTTTGTAAATGTACATTATCTGAAAGTAGACTTCACGGCCTATCTTTTAGTAAAATAATTTTTTTTCAAATTCATAAGCGTCTATTATTAATCGGGGTCCAAGTCGACCATTTCGGCTAGTTGCTGTGACGTTATACTACTACTTAAAAAATTTTTTTGTGTCTCACATCGTGCATTATTGCAAATTTATTGCTTATCTAACGCCTTCAATTCAATTTTCACGCATGTTGAGAACCATTGGGCTCTCTTATCAAATCTAATCTAGCAGAACATCCGTTAATTTCTTCCTCCTTGTTACTTTATAGTGCTATCAATTACGACGAAACGGTGTACGTTAAATTTGAAAAGTTTCATTGAACATTTTACAGATTCCATTATCGTATTATTTTATTTCGAAGTGCCGTACAAAGTGAGTTGTTTATTTAATTATAATATAATATATTCAATGACCTTTTGTTAATACCTAGGTACCTTTGTAAAATCTTGTTGGAAACATTAGTCTTGTTGAGATATTTTCTGTTGACCTATTTCTTATGTTCTTAATATTTTAGTACGTTTGCAGGAAATCCACCATGAGTATCTGTGATGTGTGTGTACATTTGTCGGATCTTATGACTCCACAATCGTTCACCAGTTTAGTTACAACGCTCATAAAATATTTAATTTACGAAAAACAACTTATTCCGTATCCATATGACCGATTGAAATTGTACATAAAAAAATACAAAGAAATGAATTCAGAGGTAATTTGTTTTCTTTACTATCCAAATTATTAGCAAGTTGCCTAATGCTAACACTAATTGAATGTTTCTAATATACTTACTTTTGTTTATTTGCAGGAAGAAAATTGTCGAAATCAAAAGAAAAATTACAGACTAGAATCTGATAAATATTATAAAAAAGTTTCTGATGCAATAAATACACTTGAGACTGTTTTTCAGGTAATTAGTTAATTGATCAACTAAAAACAATATGTGAACATTTTTGTTTACAAACATAAATCAATCAATAATTTGTAGATTGAAAAATACATTTAATTAATCTACAAAATAATTTGATGTACATATTACATTTTGAATATAATCAATTAGTGTTAATACATATGTATATATTAAATATATTTCCAATTTCAAATATTTTTTGAACAATAATATGTAATAATTATATATATATGTACATATATTTTTTTTTAGTGCATTGAAGGTGAATTTCAAAGTTGTAGTGAAAATCACATAGAATCAGTTGTAATATTGATTGGATCAAATATTCTCAATCCTTTGACTGTATTTAACATATATGTACCAGAACTGACTTATTCACACTGTGAAAATCAACATTCTTCTAGAAAGCATATTGATAATGTATTTCAGTAAGTAATGTTAAATAATTTACAATTTTGTAGTTTTAATAGAAGAAAAACAACCAATAGGTACATAAAAACTTCTATTTTTCTTCCAATTTTCTTTAAGTTCGTAGAAAAACATTTTTTAATAAATTAGTAATATTTTATTAATGGTATTAATAATTTCTTGAATAAATACCATTTCGTATCATACTTTAGTATCCATACTGTTCAATTATTTTCATAAACTTTCTAAGATAATGGTGGTTAATTTGAGGGTCATGGAATTTTAGTAGGGAGGTCATCAATAAGGACCTATTTTTAAAGTTTTCAATCATATTTTGCGCGAAACTGATTTAGTTATTTATAAACATACATTTTATTATATGTGCATATCTATGTTATTAATAACTATTTATATATATATTATATTATTTCAATAATTTTCAGTAATGTATGTTGAATAATTCGAGTTATAAACCGAAATTCAACTCAAATGACCTTGAGTTATTAAGATTCCACTGTATTGTATATATATATCTAATATTGGTAGGGGATTGCCTCATTGAAATTAATAAATTGGGGTTTTTGGATCTAAACAGACTACAAGCAACTAGCCCATTTCTACTAAATTTATTTTATCTTCTATTGATATAAATTTTCCTATGAAATAACTCCTTTGCTGTTAGTGTATTCTGTGTTTGTGAGTTCAATAGGTATTATATTATGGGAATAGTTTAATCATTTTTAATGTAGGTTGAGATAAGTCTGGCCATCTTAAAAACTTTTTTATTTATATTTGATTTAATTTATTTATGGTTATTGAAAAAATTTGAAATTAAACAATAAATACGTTATAAGTTGCCAATACAAAGTTTAAATTTCAAAGTCTTAAGAACATTATGAAATGCCAAATTAAAAAAAAGACGTCCTAGGATATTCAGGCCAGGTACAGCCACTGTTATAAATAATTTAGTGTATACCTGTAAGCAATGACAAACCATTGCTAATGAAAAACCAATTCTGAGTGGAGTTCGGTTGATAATGATGCTTTGTCAACAATATATATGTCATTTTATAGTAAAATAATTAAATGGCCTTTATATATTTTCTTAAATAATATTTGTTTAATGTTTTACTGATTTTTCCTGTTTTCCCATGTTTTATCCCGATTTTTCAAATTTGATGAGAAAATCAAAAAATGACCTCCCTAAAGTACCTCAACATTCCGATTTCCTTTCGGCAAAGGTGCTACACATAGAAGTCTTGTTGTAGAAAAGTTGGGTACAGATAAAAAAAAAATAAATAAACATCTTTGTAAAACTAAAAGCTTCTTTGCTCCACTCAGAATTTAAAATTACACTGTTTAGGAATAAAATGAAACTAAGTGACCCATAAAAAGATGAATAGGAATAAGTTAATGATTCAACCTTATCAGTTTCTTATTTTTAGTTTGAAATAATAAAATAAAAAATGTTGTAATCTTAACAAATATTTGAAAATGTTTACTGATTATATTTTTCAATTCAATCACGATCAAATAGAAAATAAATTTAAGTCACACATAAGTAGTTCATAAAATTTAAAAAATGTATTACTCAAACTATTGTGCATTTGACTTGTTGAGAAACATTAATTCTAGTGTTGTAAAAATATAACATATTATTTTATTCAATAGTTCGAATGTATTATTTGGATTTTAAAATGTACTACTTCTTTATTTATTTGTTATAGGAACATTTTAAACAATGACCAGTTTAATGATATATTAACATCTAATATAATGGTTGAAACAAATTTGTATGTCATGTTCAAAGTAAAACCTGGAGCTCAAATGACAACTAATTGGTGGATACCCAAGGAAAAATTTCGTATTTTCAGAGGAAAGCAAGTGGTTTTGAGATTCCAACAGTCGATTGATGATGAAAGTATCAAAAAATATGAAACATGCTGCTTTCAGGATTGCTTAGACTTTGAAGTTTTTGTGGATTTAGACGATAAGTCAAGTGTGAAAAAACAAACAAATACATTGACTGAAAGTGTTGTTGATTGGTATGTTTCAAAATCCTATGTAACTGGTTTCAAAAATTATAAATTCAATGGAATACCCATATCCGATACTTGGCTAAATCCGAATATTATCAATAGCATGGTTTTATAATACAGTCATAGTTTGCTGGTCTGATATACTATGGGAAATTTTATTTTTTAATTAGTCAATACAATATATTTTAGTTTAATTTAATTAATCTAAAATTTTGTTTTAAATTATTGTTGATTAATATTTAAAAAAATGTTTTACTGTATAACTACTGTTTTAATTTTTTTATCAATCTAATTTTACTTGGACAATTATTGGAAACATTATCAATATTTTTGATTCAACATAATGTATAGATTATTATTATTTGGATTTAAGATTAAATAAATATTATAATCCTAAAACAAATTTAAATATTTACAAGTTTATATAATTAATTAATATTCATTAAAAAATTTTTCAACTTTAAAATAGTTTTTATTCACAAAATTTGTAAGATTGTCTTTTATTTTTTATCTTAATAAAACATAATATATTTGTAAAACAATATAATATGAAAAGATTTTATACCCTATTAACACCATGTATTTTTATAATTTAGTCTGTACATTGTTACTATTTTATTTTAAACCATTATTTCTTTACATTTTTGAATTGATTAATTTCACAGATCAAATGTATTGTGATAAATTATTTTTCCAAAAAATAATGTCAGAGATATCTCTGTTTAATAGGTGAATGGTACCAATAAACATTTAATTTTTTTTAAGTGTTAAAATAATGTTTACTGTGAAACTATAGTTTAAACATTTCAAAGTCAACTGAGTTCAACAAATCTTGATAATTGATTACTGCAATATTAAAATTAATACATAATATGATTTTTTTTTTAATAAATCACTGCAAACATTTTTCAAGTGAACTTTGTGGAAAATTATAATTAATATTAATAATCCAATAAAAATTTAAAATCGGTCATAATAAAACTTGGTTTATATATTAAATTTCCAGCTAGTCATTTTTACTATATCTGAAGGAATATATAAAGGATTAATTGACCATAATGTAATTCATTGAAGTATCAAGCATAAAAAAGAAAATATGTTACAACAAATCAATTCTACAGTTCAAATAAATATTTAATTGAACAGAAAGTGAAAATGAAAAATAATATAAATAATATAATAATCATATAAAACCAAAATATTATTAAACATAACCAGGATATTTCCGTAAATACATGAAAACCATTAATGGATTTTTTTTAGAAAATTGTTTCTGTTTTGTTAATTATTGAATCCATAATTGCATGGAAGAAAATTATTTTAATTGTTAGTAACAAAATACAAATATAGGTATACATTATATTTTAGAAAATTTGATTTTTCTGAATTTTAAAAACTTAAGTGAACTTGAATTAAGTAAACTGTTCAGGGGGCTAAGCCTCCCTTTACTTGAGTTTATTTAGATGCCTAAATACAAATTTGTTTTGAATGTGGGTATTTAGTGTTCACAGTGGTATTTGATACCTTAAAACTAAATGTATTTTGTCATTTAAATTAAAGATTCATAGGATTTAAACTCAAAATTATGAACAAAATAGATTCAAGTGAATGATTTTTATGTTGGTACAACACACAGAATCAGTTTTAATTTGTTAGCCGTTTTAAATAATTTAAATGAAAACAATAATTAAGATTTTATTAAAAGTTATAAACAAGTATTTCTTACATTGCAAAGCAAAATCAGTGATAGTGTTATTTATTGGACATATTTCAAATAGATATGAAAAACTAAACGGAACAGTAAATTTTAAATTTCTGTGTAAAATATACTAATATATATTCATGTAGCTTTTAAATTAATTTTAATACAGAAAACCATTTATAAGAATTGTTTTATCTTATTATTTTAGGTTCCGAGCATGGTGAGGTAGCTATTGGTTTTACTGTTTATTTTTTTTTTACAGTCTGTGAATACAGTAAAAACTTTTCTGAAAACTCAAGTTGTCTAGATTGTACTTTAAAAAAGTCGTTTTTTTTTTTGATTTTCATTGTCATTTTTTAAATTAAAGCATTTAAGTGGGAAAAATGTACAATTTCACAATTTCATTATTTTATAAAAATCACTGACGATGTTTTCTACCAGAAAGTGATTTAATCGAAAAATCACAGTATTACTTTTTTGATTTACTTTCTTACAGCATCATCTTCAAAATATTTGAGTTTTTAAGGAATTTTAATTTTTGGGAGTATTTTACTGTAATTTGGTTATAAATACACATAGAGACATGAAATTTGGTAATTATATTAGACTTACCTAGATGTGGTAAAATTTCTTAAATCATCAGACGACTTTTTCTTTTCAATACACGGTTTGAAATCAAATTTACAAAATCACAACAAAAAAAATGATGGCACTTCAAATTATGTATTACCGACTCTCTCGGTATCGCACTCGGAATCCTCTTTCTTTAGCAATGGTTTATCATTGCTTACAAATATAAATGAAATAACCTTATGTATTCTACCTTCTCAACTTCTCACCCACTACAATGGCCTCTCCCATCCCCAGTATCAGCTCTTTTTAGTTTTTCTATAACTTTTAGTGATTGAGCTGTTTGTTAAAAATTATAATTAAATACAAATAATAACTTAACCATGTTGTATATAAAATCATTAAAAATTAACCTACAAGTCTATCTAAATATTTTATTTTAATAATATTTGTTGAATGTTAATAATAAATTATTTAATACCCAATTTCCACATGTCTACAGTAATTTTGAATTTACTCATTTATTTAGATAAAAATAATTGTTGAATTGATAATTAATAATTTAGAAGTATGATTATAATGATTTAATTTAAATTTGATGATTTCAAAAATCATTTTTTTGTATTTGATAAAACGAATTGCTAAGAAAATTAATTAAATTCAAATAATAAGTAGACGTCACAAATAAAATTTAAATAGTTTCATAATCATTTTTAAGTCCAAAGATTACTTTATCAGACTTACAAAATGTAATATTTGAGAGGGTGTTACATTGTTACAGTTATTAATTGAAATGGAATAAGGGAAATAAAAAAAGAAAGACAGAGTATAATTAATTCTAGTAATTATTCAATAAGTCAAATATAAACATTGTTCATCAATAAAAAATGTAAATAAAAGTTTCTATACAAAATTAATACTATTAATGTTAGATATGAATAACTTGAGCTGAAATATTAGTCTTTGGTGACCAATGACCATCTTTTGGTGGAGTAATTTGAATCTTACAATATGTGCCAGATATCAATTTTTTTTGAGAATTACTTTTGACTAGTTGCCCAACATTGATGACCATTGTATTTTCAACAACCTGAAACCAATAATAATTATACAATTATTAATATTTAATAATAATCAATAATTATTTAATAATTACAATAGGTAAACATTGATTTTAATTATTATGGTAATAGAATTTCTATCAAATATTAGTGTATAATACAATTCTTATTTTACAATAATCACAAACCCGTGTAAAAAAAAGATCCATGATGAATTGTGAATTATGAATCTAAGCAACCAAAGTTCAGAATTAAATATACACTGTTTATCACTAATTTATGTTATTACAGCACATGTGTTTAATTTAAAATCAGTGCTTCCAGAAAACAAGATTGATTCAATTTAATATAGTTTAAGAGTAAATACATACCCGTATGAAAGAACGGAGTTGAGAAGTAGTTAATATAATATGTGGAGTAAATTCTTCGAAGTTACAATGTTCCAACCACAAAAATTGATCTACAGGAATGGTAGGGCTAGCAGTATATGAAGGATGCAAACTCTGTTGCCAAACAATTTGCTTAGAGAGTTTTTCAAATGTTTCTTCTCTATACACATAAAAAAAAAAATGTATATAATATATGTTTAATAAATATTACATGTCTATAATATGTATATATTTATTTATTTTATTAATGAATACAAATACTTTACTTACTGTATTTTATTTATTCCTGATACATGTAATCCCATAAGGGCATCACTAGCGTTACCAGCAATTAATACATTGTTGGCTGAAAAAATTGTTGGATCGGACACAATGAATATATTGTTAGGGTACAAAGTTGGTAATCTGGATTCAGTAAATGGAGGTGTAGGATAAACACAGTAACTATTGGCATCTTTCCAAGAACTAAATATCACCAATTTTGTGTTTCTAGTATTTGGATGACTAAAATCAGATAAAAAATATATATATATATAAATACATCATTACTATTCTTTGAACATCACAATTAGGTTAATAGCTGGTTACAAACTTAAACAATGGTTGTATTATGAATTCCAACAGTTCATCATAGGTTTCTGATGAGCTTTTGTTTAATTGTGTAACAAAATCTGTTTCGAATATTGGACCTAATAGCACCAGTAATTTTGCTTTTAAATTTATAGTTTTTTCTATTAAAGATTTCAATGATTTGCCCTGTGGAGATGACTCACTAAAAAATGGTCCAGCAGCAACTATTATATTCATGTTACCTGTGTAAAATATTAATGTAATACTATGTTATTTTTTAGAATATTAGAATTTCATTAAAATATAACAATACTCTAAAAAAGGGAATTAAACAAACCTTGAGCAAATTTTGGAATTTTTGGTGACAACGGTAATGAAGCATTGGTGTACAGTTTTCTGACTTTGAAAACCTTACTATCTGTATTGGTACCAGTAACAACCAATATCTGATTTGCAAATAACGACTTATCCAATTTTCCAGCTTCAGACAAATCTAGTTTTATGGAACCATAGGAGGAACTCAGAAATAATTCCTTTTTTATCAACTTCAAACAGCCAGAAATTGTAATTTCCTGAAATATTGAACACATAATAAAATAGCTGTTTATTTTAGATTCAACTAATAACTTTTAAACTAAAGGGCTATTTTTAACTAAGATAATGCAAGATATTTTTTTAAATTTTGTTAAGGTAAGATTGTAATATGTATTATGTATTTTAATTTAAAAGCTTACTTGGTGATAGTATGTTATAGTGGTGTAGTCAAGGGGTGGGGTACCAGGACCATATTACCCTCATTATCCATATTTTTTAATACTTTTATAATAATAATTTCATATTTCATTGATTAAGTAAGTAGGTGATGTGTTTTTAATTATAATTAAAGAAATTAATATTACAGACAAATATGATAACTTAGTGATATGCATATTGATTAGAAAAACGCAAAACAATAGACATATTACATGCAACTTAAAACTATTTATGAAATCTTTAGGACTACATCTGTTTATCTAATACCTGAGATAATGCTGAGACAACACATTAATGAAAAAAAACATACTGTCTATACTGAGTTGACAAAACTATAACAAATTTACAATTTCCATACAGTCTGTATTCAATTGAACACCAATTTCTTTTAATATGTCGGTTTTCTTGAATTTATGTTTATAATTCAGGTCTGTTGCATTCTTATAGAGCTTTATGAGTATTGTCCATGTTCCATTTTTTTTCATGTTTATATTATGAAAATTATAAAATGTACATTTGCAAATTACTAAGCTGTAATTCTAAATTTCACACTCACTACTATCACACTACTTATTAAATTTAGAAACATCATCTTATCTGTTAGTTATTTTTATAACACCATCTACACACATTTCACAATGTTTACCGAAACAAAAACAAACTTTTGATGTTTACCAACACTGATGTTTATGACTTTCTTTTTCAAAAACACAAACAATTAGTTGCAAAAAACAATTGTTGTAAAAATGTTTTGATTTTGTCCCAAAAAACTAGAAAGTCGGTAAATCAAATTCCTTATTGATGTTATAGTTAATGCTGTCTTTAATGAAATCAGAGCCATAATACTATTGAAAATATGTAGATCACAATTGTTATTATATGGCCCCATTAGATAGGCAAAAGAAAAACACAAGTTTAACATTTCTTGATAAACATGCAACAATAATAACTACATCATTAAACAGTTTACATTTGTAAATAAAATTGATAACAAATGTAGTTTCAGAAGAAAACAAATGTAATGGTAATTTAATACACTCTTAAAAGTTTATGGTTTATACAGAGATTATTTTAAGACCAACTAAAAAATTGTAGAACTAGTTTGTGATTTAAGATAAAATAGGATATTCTGTATTGTTATTTTTAATAATTTAAAACAATACTAAAACTTGGATGTCATTTCCAATTCTAATAGATATTTTAGGTGCCTACAGTATTTTAGCATAAACATCACAGTTATTATTCCATTTCATATCAATACATTTTAATATTTTATACAGAATCAAAATTTAAAGCATTTTCAAAAATAAAAATAGATACAAGTCTTTAAAAGTTTATCTTGTGAATAAGTAGACAGTTTAAAAACTCATAAGCCTAACACTCATATTAAAAAGTATTAGATATTATTTTTATTTGTGAAATATCATTATTATAGTCTTAGTAATTATAAAAAAAGGGTAAGTTTTGAAAATAAAATAAATTTAAATTCAGAATAATCTGAAGCTCTGATGTTTTGTAGTTATGTTATGAATATAACTAAGAAACCTAATAGATAATATAAATGCAATAAATAATAATTTATACTCACATTGTCATTGGTACAAAATAGTTCAGACAACGGTACTGCTGGTTGTAAATTATTGTTTTTGACAATATCATCTACCAATGTCTGCACATGGTTTTCAAATTTTTGATAGTCGACTCTACCGAAAACAAATTTTTTAAATAAATCTTGTTTATAAAGAAATATTTCTTCAATATCAGCTGAATTATCGGATGAATTTTTGTTAATATTTCCTAGTCCAAAGTCACATGCAATGTCGCCAGCAGTAGAAATAGTATTTTCTCTAAATTAAATAAATCATACAAATTATTACACTTTTTATGTTTTATATTAAATATAAAAAAAATGATTTAATTGATTCATCGTGCTAGTATGTTTAACTCAAACAAGGTGGTTTTTCAGATAACTACTAACTAACAATCAAATTCATATATTTATATTTACGATTTATAAACACTATATGAGTAAGTAAAAGCTATTAATTAGATAAGGTATACATTTTAAAGCACTGAACCCAAATTAATAAAATGTCAATTGTACAACCACTATAGAATTTAATTTAATACAATAATCTAAATTTGAAGTTGTAAGGTTATAACAAATAAAATTGCTCATACTCTTCTTTTATATTATGTCCATCGATAATGTCCTTTATGTTGATTTCATTTTCAATTTTAATATTACTCGTTCCGTATGTAGAACTCTGAAAAGTAACAAAATTTTGTCGATTAAATATTATATGAATAGTGACTTTCACACACAATTATTAAAGAAAAAAAAATTATTAGTTAGGTACATTATTCAATAGTCTGAAGGAATATTTAAATATTCAACAATTGTTGATTCAGTTAGATAAAAGAAACTCAGTTATGAATTTTAACTATAACCTATTTTAGTCAATATTATTTTTTTCTAAAACCGAAGTATGTGTAGATACATAATTACTTAGTCTTATACATAAGCAAGATAATCTTAAGAATTAAAAATACTTATAATGTTTTTATAGTTACAATTAATAAATAGGTAAGACATTAGAAAAATGTAATGACTATTACAGTTGTAAATAATGTTGGAACATTTCATTGAAAGGCACTGCATTACACATTGGTGATTTAAATATATTTTATAAGTAGTCTTATTATTTACAATTAAAAACCGTTGCTGTTCATTGAAGTTTTAGGAGTTTTTAAATACGCTAAACGCCTGTATTAAATATTGAAATAGGTAACTACTTGGGTATTTAAAACACTTCAAACTTTTAAATTTTATCACAACCGGTTATACTATATTTTTTATGATAATTGAATAAATTGATCTAAAGTTAATTTAAACTCTTAGGAACACAGTGATATTATTTCATGAAGTACACAGGTACTTAATTAGGTATCAATTGTCATTTGCTCCGTTCTTTCAAATACTCAACAATAAGAAATTTAATACTATACAAATTTATATCAGACAGAGTAAAGAACATGTCACATTCATTTCAAGTTGTTCTAAAATGACTCAGAAGTATATGTACATAAATATTAGTCCTCTGATATACCTTATGTTTTATTCTGTACGTTCAGTTAAATAAAATACCATTATACAATGTTTATATCAATACCTTTATTATTTGGAACAAAAATTATTTAATTAAATATTATATAGTTAAGTTAGGTTTAATACTAAATTTTTATATTATATTTTCTTTTTATAAAACCAAACACATACGTTATGCGTGTGGTTACAATACCTATATATTATAACATTATTAACATTTGTATATCATTATAGTATATGTGGAACCCTATTGTTTGAACTCCTGAATGCTTTTATTGTTGATAGGTTCAACTAATCTTATTTAAAATTTTACAGCAGGCAACCATAATTAATGTCCTTTCATAAAACAGTATTTGTTTATTTATTCTTGTACTACCTTCATTCCAATAATATCAAATTAAAAATGTCAAGTATTTATATAGACACTAATGAATATAAGAATATTACCCACTTTTTGTTTTGATAGGTTGTTACACATTATTATAATTCAATTTATGATTTACTTTCACGTTTTCACCCAGATCAATTTTATTATAATAAGTACCTAACTACTATTGTATTTTGTTGAAGAATTTAAAGTTGTATATTCAGTACATTGAAATTAATATTAAAACAATAATATTGATTTACGTAAAAATGGATCATGTTATGTGGTTTACACACAATTTAGATAGGTATGTATTTACACAACGTAATATAGGAACCTATCTAATGCTAAAAAAATAGGCAATTCATTTAACCAAACAAAAATATTTAGAGTTTAGTACAACTGTGAAATTATAAATTGTGTTATTTCTATGTTAAAATTAAAATATTTCTAAAAATAACACACATTATAATTAATACCCTCAAAATTAATAATATAAATACAAAGGATAAATAAAAAACAATACCTTTGTAAGTAGGCAATATATAGATATATTTTGTTTTGGTCAACACCATTAAATGCATATTATAATAGATAATTTAACAGTTAATAATATATTGAATTTAAATACAACATTCGTACGAAAAAAAACAAACAAATATTACATAAAAATAATTCAAACGGAGAGTACAGTGTAAAATTAGAAAAAAAAAAAATAAAACATTAAAACTTTACAATAGAGTAATAATTTCTAAAAAATTTAGATGAACGTAAGCAGTCTAGGAACTTGGTAAGCAGTTGATGAGTGTAGATCTAGTCACAGCTTTTAAATATTCAGTGTAGACTAGAAAAACACCCACGGACCGTCCAACCATTTGTGTACGTACGTTACGCATCTAGAACAGTTTTTTTCTTTTCGTTTAAATCTCCTTTACGCATAATGCGCGTTCCGTCTGTTCAAACTCGTGTCGTTGGTTCAACCGCGGCGGAGATAGAGGGGGGCGGGGGGAGAGACGATAAAACGAACGTTGAAAGACGCCGACGGCGACCGAAGGATCGTACGGTACAAACGAGAAGGAATATTGAAACGGGGAAGAAAGTAAAAACACCGTGTACGAATTCGAAAAAAAAAAGAATATTCGGAGTTAATTGAAGAGGAAAAAAAAACCGACAGTTTAAAACGACGCGAGACAAGGGAGAGAACGGTCGAGACGACGACGGCGGCGGCGACGAGGGTTACGGGTGCGTGTGCGTGTGCGCGCGTAATGGGACGGACTCGGAACGAGTTTACGAAACACAAGACGTTCTACTTTCCCTGCGCGCCCGACAATAATAATAGCCGGGAATGGACGCGGCGCGATAGTCAATTGACGGCGGCGGTTAAGAAAAAGTAACGAAGTGGTGGAGGAGGGAGGGGGCAGATGGACAGACCGGAATGGCGGCAACGGCGGCGGGCGCGGGGGAGGGGGCGGTATTTTCGGGAAAAAAATTAATAATAATAATATTTATTTACATGATATTATTATAAACAATGCCCGGACGAAATACAAAGCGAACGACGCACAGTGTAGTGTACCGAAATAACAGAATCGATTGAAGCTGCCGCGCGCGAGCGATATTGTGGAATATTGCTATTTATTTAAAACGGAGAAAAACGCGTAATGTCGATATTAAATATTATCCAAGTAAATATAATTGACGTACGACGAGCACGGAAAAAACGTATTTATGCAAAACAATAACAATACCAGTTTGGCCGCGACGTTCCGTCCGTGTCCCAGCAACGACGATACACAAAAATACAATACGCGCCGCGACAAAATCAAATATCTATTTTGTCGCGATACGTACGATATTTTTAAGGGAGACCCGAGAGCACGGCGACAACGCGCAATGGGTCTCCGAAGCGAAATGAACCGGCGACGACGCCGCACGGTAAACCGACCGACCGACGCGTCGTACGTACGACGCGCCGCCGACCGGAGAGAAAGAGAAGCGTCGTACGCACGCACCGCGGCGCCGTAAAGCTGGATTACAAACAAACGAGAAAAAAAAAAAATTTCAAAACTCCGGTGTTTTGGCCTTGAACGCTCGCGCTGCTCGGCCACGGCACACACGCACGCGATTGATGCAGCCGCCTCACCGGGGCACCGAGAGGAACGCGCCGTATGCACACGCTCGCACGCGCACACATTCGACGGGTGCCTACCGGTCGTCGTCGTCGCGGAAAGGTGAAAAAAAAAAAAATACCGACGGACCAACAAGGGAGGGGACGGCCGGTCACCGCGTGGCCGCGCGCCGCCAGGTAGGCGGCGGCTGCGGCAACCAGTGGATTCCAGCCGGCTTTCCAGCGCGCGCACGACGACGGTTTTTATAACATTGCTATTTATCCGGCCCAGTGTGGCGGCGCGCTGGGGTTCACTGTATCACATTGTAATAATATTATAATGGGTACTGGCGCGGTACAATAAACGTATGGGTACCGGCGATAATATCGCGGCGCGCTGTAGCGTACACCGCGCGCGCACGCCGCTCGACCGACGACGACGACCCATCGCCACCAATCGAACGTCGTCCGTAATGATTTCGAGTACACGTCTACTCCGGTATTCGACGGGGTGTAATCCGGGTCCTATTAGACGGGGGGATACGTTTGGCCCGCGCGGGTGCGGGCGGCGCCGCGCGTTTCTCCGTCGCCGTTGTTATTATTATTGTTGTTGTATGTTCAGGCGTACGCGCGCAACGGGCGCTGCAGCCGCCGCCCGGCCTATCGGAACCCCCCGTATACTCATATACGCGGTACCTATACAATAATAATAATATTATAACCGAGTAGGTACGAAATATAATATTTATAAAAATATTTTTTTTATTTTGCTCAACACGACGGTTAGACTAGTACCCGGTCGGTAATCTTTAACCTTCAATTTCGTTCGTTTGAACGTTTTCTAAGATTTTTACTCGGTGACTGTCCTATACCGACATTATTATTTATTATTACGACCAGGAATAGCAGCGGGCTAATCACAACGTGCGGATTTTCTTCGTTTTGTGTAAAGCGATGACACCACTGATTTTAAATCCAATTCCGCGCCCAGCATAATCGGCACCTGGTGCCAGAAAAATGTATCGATTAGTAGAAAAAAAAGTCCGTTGGGCGTTCACTCATACGTTTATTAAAAACAAATAATATACCCACCCGGTGGGTGGGTGGCAAATGAACTTTTCGTCCCTGGGAAATGTTGAATATGATACGTTTCTCCGTTTTTTCAAAACATTTTTATCAACTAATTCGGTAGCAGGAAAAAAAAACCAAGACGAAAAACCACGAAATCATCACCATCACATTGTACTAATCGTTTATTACATTAGATTATTTTTGAATTTTGTTATCAGCCGGACTGTCATTTTTATTCCCTACAGGTATAAATAATAAGTTAAACTGCTTACGGTTGTATGACTACTACGGTATTATGACTTGGATTATTACAGAAATTAGAGTAACAGTCATTTGCCCTTATTTTGTGAAAATTAGATACCAATCAATTTTATCAATTACAAATGTTTATGTTTTATTAAACAATTATTTTTAAATGTTATTAACTATTTCAAATTACTAATTTATAATTTGTATTTTAATTTAATTTTCCAGCATTTTGTTTTGCTAATGACTTCAAAAGTCTCATAAAAGCTGATTTAAATGTGCTTACAGATTTTCATTCACATGTAAATTGTATAACTAGTTCTCGTAATTACTCAAATTACATTACAGAGCGCTTTAAATGCATAATGATGTACAAAGTACAGATAATTTGTTTAAAATCAATCATAGTTGAAAAACCAAACATGTATATAAAAAAAGATTATAAAAATGGGCAAATACATTTAAAGCAGATCTTAATATTTGTAAATAGGAGGAAATTTGTAAATCAGATTTGTTGACATACAAAATAATTATATTATTATTACATTTAAATATTTGCATAGCTGCATATACCTGAAAGTGAATTTCAAAGTATTTTAAAGAAAACAATTTAAACTAACAATTTTTAACAAATTAAAAATTAACTTGTTTATGTGTGTAAGAAACATGTAGACTAAATTCAAATAACTACATAGTTTACACAATATAAAATAATATAATCTTGTGCAGTTTTTGCTTACAGACTCTTTTATAATTGCTGAAGTCAATTTACGGCTATTCAATTGAATGGGTATTTTAAATTAAATGAACGAATCTTTTTAATTAAATCAAGTAATTTCTAATAAAACAGTATCTGAATAACCTTAGTGTAAATAATAGTAATATAATAAATAAATATTTAAAACAAATTATTTTGTAATAAATTTATGTGTTCAAAAAAATGTTAATTATACTTTGTACAATTATTACAATAAAGCTTTATTATTACAATTTACAATCAAACCGGTATGTTTTAAGAAATCCACTAGAGTAAACTGGTGTAAAAATATGACAATATATCAATAATGATAATTTCGTTTCATATTGTAAGACACCATTTCATATTCGTTATTATAATCATGCATTTTATTATGCAATCAAAACTTTTGGTGATTAATAAGTACATGACTATTATCCCGTATTTATTATTATAGCAATTACTACATTAATAATTACTATTTAATTTAAATTAAATTAGTTAGAATTCTGGCAAATATTTATTCAATTAGTTACAATAATAATACCTAATACACTACAATACAACTACAAATAATTAGTTAAAATAATATTAACTAGAAATTAAAATTGTGTAAAAATACCTACATTGTTTAATAAAAAAAAAGACAGTATATACCAGCACGATGGGTGGACCACTGTTGTAGATGAGAAGTTATTAGAAGTGTTACTATAAATAGGGGAATTTAATGGTACTCATATATCTGTAGGTAAAGATTAATTATTGCTAATGAAAAATGATTCTGAGTGGAGCTAGGTTAATAGTATTGCTTTTCAACAATATAATATACGTCACATTAGGGTCACGTTTGGGTCTCTAGATGCACCTAAAATAAATATGTTTTTCCTTGTTACCTACCTACGTAATTTTGCAAAAATAATTTTGGAAACTCGGGTTTGATCTTGCCATCTTTGGGATGACAACAAGTACATAACATCACTAGACTATACGGCAGACATTCTACAATATTGTCAATATTCAGTTATTAAACATAACATCTTATATAATATCCGCATAATATCAGAACTTTTAAAAGCTATAATCTCGAAACTAAGTTAGTCCGCTCAATTCTGACTTCACTATAGTTTTTAAATCGGCAATATACGAATACGTATGATGTTAGTATATATGAGTACATATGAGAATTGTACATATTATGTTCAAAACAAAAATTTTGTATGAACCAGTAACTAGATTTGTTCAGAATAATTTTTTATTGAAACGGTTTTTGTCAAAATTTGATACTAAAATACTTTTATAAAAAAAAAAAATCAACATTATGCTCAAATTTTCGTTTTCGACCACAAAGTATTACTTTTGAACCTCTTGTTAAATTTTCAAGCATTTCTGTTAAGTCTAACAATTCTATCCACTGAGTCCTACCGTATAAAAACTATGTCTAAAACCCGCAAAATTTAAATAATCTATAAGGTTAAGTCCTCCTGGAGCAAGACATCAAGCTAAATAAATTTATTTATTTATTTATTTATTTATTTATTTATTAGATAAATAAGGCCATTTACTGTTTAAAAACTTGACTTAGATAGTTCTTCCAAAATGACAATTTTTTCTAAATGATAATGGACATTTTATTTTTATCAGCGTGATCAACCCCGAATACACAAAAATTAAATCACTCCAGAATCACAATCAGAATAACAAACTGCACAGAATAAAAGTAACTAAAATCAAGGAACAATCTAACTAATGTCTGTCAGAGTTAACTGTTATCAATAGCACCTTAATAAGAATAATAATTAATAAAATATAAAAATATAGTTTATTGAATAATTGTATTATTAAATTATTATTAAAAGGAAGCTATACCCGCATGTGCTGTCTCAGTTCAACTAACGAGCAATATAGTTAAATTTTTTTTTTGGTTTTAGAGTAAAATCACTTTTATAAAATAAAAGAGGCAAATATTTTGTATTGCCAGACAATGCGTGTTTCCTATCATTTTTTATTATTATTCCGGATATGACGTTCGATGCATCATTTAGAAATAAAAATTACTTATCCTTTTTAAATGACTGTAAAATTTAAAGACGTCCTAGGATAATGGAGATAGGTACAGCCACTGTTATAGATAATTTAATGTATACCTGTAAGCAGTGCTCACGAAAAAATAATTCTGAGCGGAGTTCAGTTGATATTTTGTCAACAATATATATGACATGTTATAGTAAAATAATTAAATAAGCTTTATATATTTTCTTTAATAATATTTGTTTAACGTTGTACTGATTTTCCCAACTTTTCTATGTTTCTTACATTTGCTGAGAAAACTCTTGGGAAAATCGAAAAATGTCCTTATTAAAGTACTTAGCTACTGAAATTTCCTATTAGAAACATTGCTATCAATAAAATTTGGAGCGAAATTGCTGCTAGAAAAGTTGTTAACAAATAAAAAAAGAATAAAAATAAACATCTTTATAAAACCATAAGCTTTTTTGCTCTACTCAGAATTTAAAAAGAAATGCATCATCTTGCCCTCCAAAATAATGTTCTCTTTTAATTGTATAAACGGTGCAATCGCAACATTTTATAAGAGTCAAAAAAAAAAAATTAATTGTTATTGGTACATTTTAGTACAATAATCCAATTATTTTTGTTGATTTATGGATTATCTTCGTGATACAGATGAAATTAAAACAAAAAAAATTTAAAAATAAATAAGTAATAGGCCTGTTATAGTTTTCACAAGGATACACACACTGAAGAGTAGTTACTAAGGCAGAGGACTTAAGATAAGATTTACATGTTTATTTCATACAATCATAAAAAAGGCCAGTTTCAAAGACATTTTTTTTTCATATTACAATAAATGCAAATCTATAATTTTATATTGCATATTTAGGAATATTTTTCACAATTTCTTAAAAAAAAAAAAATATTTATCGGACCGAAAATCATTAACAAAATCATAAATTAATATATTAAAAATGTCACTTTTTGTCAAAAGATGAAATGTCCCTAAAAACTAAATATATTTAAAGATCAATCAATCCATGTAATATACTAATGTCTAGTTATTTTAGTCAATACAAATTAACAAAAAAACATTTTATTAAGACAAAATGGAATTTTTATTTATTTAGTCATGTGAACATCTTTTTTAGCAGAAAACTTTCTCCAAAGTATAGACTGAAGTACCTTTCTGAAAGGTAATTTTCTGAAGTCATTTTTCAATTTTCCAAGGGGTTTTCGAAATAAAAGGGAAAAACTCGAAAGAAAAAATAAGTAAAATGGCAAATATTTATGGCATTTATATTACGTTTTTATCATATTATTTTAACATGATGTTTTATACCAGAAATATTACTCAAATTCAAAAATGTCAAGAGATTGATTTTGCTCCTTTTAACACATAGCCAATAACAGAAAAAGTCGGTTTTTGATAGCTACAGTATTTTTTATAATAATTGGAAAAAACAATGCTTGAAAATTGATAGGAGGTACATTATAAGTGGTATGCAAAAAAATTGTGTTTAATGTAAAGTTTTAAAATCATATTTTCACGCAAATTGTAAATATTTCAACAGGACTGATTTTGGTCAGTCGTGTAGATTTTATTATACTATTATACTAATTTCCAAATGAGAATGCACCGCATTGCGCATAGTGATGAATAATTTCCCGCTATTTAAAAATGAGGAAATATTTCAAGAATTTATAATTAATTCTCAAATAATGGGAATTTTTACTATAAATTCTAGTAAGCATATCAAAATTAAATTATTGATAATCCAACACAAATAAAATATCATTATTCTTATTTTATGATTAATATTATGATAGTATCTACATTCTTGAAGTTCTCAAAAAATGACCTATGTATTTACCAAGTTGATAAAATTGACTTTCAGAAAAGGTGCTACACTTATACATAGGAGCAAGTTTTCTTGTGTTCTTGTTGTTAAAAGTGAAATGTTAAGTGTTCTACACTTTTATATAAAAAAAAGTATCATTGTAAAAAAATTAAAAAAAGTAGTTGGACGAAATTTTATTACATCTAGGTAAATCCAATATCAGTATTATTACCAAGTTTCATGTCTCTACGTGTAATTATAACTGAATCACAGCAAAAAAACTCCCAAAAATTATAACTCCTTAAAAGCTCAAATTGACTCAAGAGTTTTGGAGATGATACTGTAAGAAAGTAAATCAAAAAGGCAACAAAAATGGGTCTTGTGATTTTTCGATTAAATCATTTTTTCTGGTAGAAAACCTTGTTTTTATAAAATAATGAAATCGTGAAATTGTATGTTTTTTCCCAATTAAGTGCTTTTATTTTAAAAGAACAATCTAGACAACTTGAGTTTTCAGAAAAGTTACTACACGTAAAATTGGGGCAAGTTTAATAGGAAAAACGTGTCCACAATCTAGAAGAAAAAAAACAAACACTTTAGTAAAACCAATAGCTCCCTCCCTACGTTTGGAATTTAAAATAAATTCTGATTCCCTTCTATCTGGGTAGATGGAGTATGATGGACAATAGTACTTTCATTGTTGATGTGTACTCAAGTAAAAACCTGGTGCAAAGCTGGGCAAATAAAAATTAAAATGTGAATATATTCACATATGAGCTTCAAACAACAAAGTATGAACAAGTGCCAACATAAATATAAAAATGAAGATTAAATGGGCAACAATTATTTTATTAATATAAAGGTTTAAGATGATTCAAGTAAAGCACCCCAGGTTTTTATTTGAGCACACTTTAACAGTTAAAGTACCATCATACTCCCTATACTAGGTAGAATGGTATGAGAATTTATTTTCTACTTTTTAGTCCACTAATAAGTTAAATAAAAGCCTTATTTAGTTTTTTTTAAACTAAATTTATTTAATTTATTTAACAAAGTTTAATTCTTGAACAAAATGAAAAACATAAAATCAGTCTTTTGGTTTAAGTTAATCCAATCTTTCCCACCACTATTTTTTAATAGATTTCATTCATTATTAAGAAAATCAAAAAAGTGCATCCTCAAGTAAATAACATCTATAACAAATTCAGAAACCACCACTGAAGTTAATGATTGAAGAATGATTTCTGTTTGAAAAATTATTCAGACTAAAAACACATTATAGTAAAACTATAAATTAAGAACAAATTAAAAAAAAAAATGAACCGACATACTTCGCATGTGGGCAGCCACTATTGTAGGTGGAAAGTTGGGAAGGTAGAATATAGACAAGAATTTAATGTATATTTGTATGCAATGATAAACTATTGCTAATAAAAAAACCATTCTGAGGGGAATTTAGTTGATAGTGTTACTTTGTCAACAATATATATATGTTATATTATGGTAACATGATCAAAACAATGTGTAGTTCCATGACAACAATGATTGTTTAAAAATATTAAAATAATTTAAACTTAATAATAACAAAAAAATAAATAAAAATAGTTGCTAATGACAACCTTATTTTTAATCTTTCAATTCTAAAGAACCAGGTGCTATATTTAATAATCGGAGTAAGCTTTCTAATAGAAAAAGTGTTCACATAAAAAAAAATAAACATCTTTGTAAAACCAAACAATTCTTTACTAAACACAGTATACAGTGTCTAATACTATATATTTCTGTCCGGTAGAACAATGACGCAACTGCAAAATGTTCTTAAATGGACTAAATGCTTCAATGTTTATAGATATAGAGACCATAATAAGGTATGAAAAGTAACTGTATTTAATAAACTATTGACAATAGTCACAGGGGTTAAATAAATTATATTGGATGCAAAAATTCTTTGATAATTAATTATCATTTAACTTTATAATAGGTTGTATAATGTATTATAATAAAATACTATTGTTCAGAATATTAAATTTTAGAAGTTAGTACATATTAAAAAAAAACTATTTTCATTGTTGTTTTTAGAGATCACAATACTATTGTAATAATTGTCTACCAAAATGTATGTTATCCAAAATTATCTTAACAATATACCATATACTATAGTTGTATCAAGATTTTAAGAGTGGAGTTAATATTTAATACCATCAACAAGTAGAAGTTGCCTTAGATGGTTTTAGCATTTGTCACACATTTTTTAGAAATGGATTGAAAACACTGACCATAAAAAGAAAATTATATAAAAGTACATAATAATATGATAATAATTAAGAAGTCATCACAGTGGTATCCATCTCTGTGTGTACAATCTATGAACACTTAAAATAACCTAATAAATGAAGTGAATATTTACAGAATTGTAAAATATTAATGACCTAACAACCAAAATGTTATCATCTTCAAGTTTTATATAATAAATGAAATTGTATGTTTGACTTTTAAAGGTTATTTTTTTTTTTTAATTTTATTTAAACACATTTTTGCTACACCTGTTCCACATAAGAAATATCCCCTTATCACTGTACTTTTAAGTTTAAGTGTATATACAATTTTTTTTTAACTGGTTTAATAGATAATCAATGCAATAGTTCAAATATATTAATCTATCAGTGGGATCATCTAGAAACATTAATAATTTGTTTTTTTTTTTTTTAATCAATACTATGCCAACCATGGGCATCCACAGGCATTTTGGGTAAATGTATTTTAAAACATTAATTGCAAGTATTATAGTCATGGTAAACAAAAATTGAATTAAATTAAAGACCTATTGAGGAGAGGAAAATGATCTCATCTTGACCCTTTTACAACAATTTTTAAATTACTTCTTATATTTAATGAACATATTTATGAACACACAGATGATCATCAATTGGTTGGGTAACACGAGGTTTGGCTATTAAATAACGAGACTGCGCGCGCAGAGAGCGTCCCAAAAAGGTTAAGGGAAAACCGAATACAGCGCTGGTTAGCTGGAAGTGTCTATTATGCCAGTACAAAATTGGGTTTTTGTTGGTGCATTAGTATTTTAGTAAATTTTTCTCGTTAAACTAAAAAAACCTCCAACTGAGTGCTATAAGTTGTTAAAAGAGGCCTATAGTGAGGATTTCCTATCTCGGGCGCGTGTTTTTGAGTGACATAAATTATTTTCTGAAGGTCGAGAGTGCACCAGAATCCAATTCAATTGTAATCCAAATTCAAAACCGTTTTCTTGGATATTAACGGCATCATGATGACTGAATGGGTTCCAGAGGGTCAAACCAACATTACTATTTGACAGTTTTGGCAACATTGCGTGAATGAGTTCGTAAGAAATGGTCGATATTGTGGAAAAACAAGTCGTGGATCTTGCACCTGCCCATAATGCGCTGTCTGTGAAGCATTATTTGGCCGCTTAAGGCACTCCAGTACTTGAACACGTGTTTTACTCACCGGACTTGGCACCCTGCGACTTTTACTTGTTTCCGAAGATAAAGTCTGCCTTAAAAGGAATCCGGTTTGAGTCGATGGAAGAGGTNACAGACTTCCAGCACTGCCTTGAGCAATGGAAGAAACAAATGAAACGGTGTGTGAAGAGGGGAGGAGAGTATATTGAAGGGGAACATTTGGTTATGGAATAATTTTTAAAATAAAACAATTTTTCATAAGCAGTCTCGTTATTTAATAGCCAGACCTCGTATTGGCCATTACCCCATTCATGTTATATTATATTTTTAGACATTATTATTATTATTTAATTAGGTAATTAATGCCAGTCACTGAACAGAGTGCATATTATGTTATCACTAAATCAGCCTTTACAGGGTGAACTGGTGTAAACTTATATATAGAAATAAACATGTCAACTAAGCATTTGAACAAATTGTAGTGTGTAGTATGGTATTTACTGTAAAATGTCATCTACTAAAAACTGTTTTGTTAGGTATTCTATCTACTAATTAACTATAATTTATTCAAAATAATACATTTATAAACAAAAAGGCAAAAGAATATTCACTAAAATAATATATCTAAATGTAATTCTTGGTGGATATTGATAACCTGAGTCTTTCTAATAGGTATTTTCCAGAATTAAATGAAATAAAATATAACATATAAAAGAATATGGCATGAAATAGAAAATAGCATAGGTAGCATACTACACAGTATACATATATATATATAAAAAAACTTACTTTGATTGAGTCTGCCTTATGAACCGTTGATAAGGAAGTAAAATTGTTTGTGTATGATTTTAATTCAAGAGATTTCCTATAAATTATGAAAAAATTGTTTTTAATTTATAATTTTTAAATAGTAAAAGATGACATAATAATAATACAATAAAATAAAAATGATATTTAAATATTTAATTACATATTATAATTATTAGGAACCTAATTAACTTTTTAACTAGGTATGTGTTATTAATTTTAATAATAAAAATTGAGAATTTCTTTATTCAAATTTTGCTATTTTTTGTAATATTATATATTTACATTGTAAGAAAATATGTGTCATATTCAGACAATTACTCACAATTATTAAGATCACTTAATAATATTACTATAACATAAAATATTTACCTTTTATTGTCTGAATCTACTTTGAACGATTTAACTAATATCATCAGTCTTTCTTTACTCAAATCATTAGCATCAATTTGAGAAGAGGCACAGTAAGCTATCCAAGATCCAACCAAATCCGAAGCTGTTATTTTATATGTATGACAAATAATGATACCTGCAAAAATAAAAATATTAAATTTATAGAATTTTGAATGCATACAATATTAAAGTAAAAAGTATTTTATACATTTTAATAGAATTTTGATCTAATTACTTATATTTATTTTCTAAAGTTGTATTTATTTTTAAATGAAAAATGTCTTAGTTAAATTGTTAAATCTACTAAATTAGAACAAGTCAAAATAATCAACATATTACATTTTTAATATGTGTAGATATTTTTCAAAATCTTAATCAAAATACTAATAGTAATAAAAATATAAAATGCTGAAAATACAATAAATACAGCCATATCTAAAACTTGAATCAATAATATTATTATATATATTAAATAATCACTCACATTCGTCTAGAATATCGTCCGAAATGGATAACCCCATCTCTTCAAATTCGTTCACCAAAAGCGGACGGTCCATGGTTGTTTCAGATAGTTTGAAAGTTCACACTAATATGAGTTGTAAGTTACTGTTGAAAACAATATTAACGTTGACAAAATGTATATTGTATAAAATCTAAACATAATACTTCAATACAACCTTACAACTTACTATGAGTTATGCAGTTGAAATACAAATATAAGTACGATATATATCTGTAATTTAATTTCCCAAAATCAATATTCAATAGTTAATTGGGCAATTTTGTTTTACTGAAATAACTGGTTTTTTGGAGGGCCAAAACACCAAGATAATCATATTACAATAATCGTTATTTGTTAAACGTGGTTAATTCATAAATTCATAAATTCATAATATTGTTACAATTGATAGTTGAAAAATCGTGTTAACCTCGAATTATGAAAAACAAACATTCCTTTATATTTCTACCAAACCCTCGGTAAGTACACCGTGGTAACAAAAAAGGTTAGGTGAATGGTGATAAGTACATTTTTACGCGGGTATAAATTGTCTGTACTCAAGACAGTAGAGCAGTGTTTCCCAAAGTGGGCGATATCGCCCCCCTGAGAAAACTAGAGCTATCCAGGGGGCGATGGAAGTTACAAGCTTAATTAGGGAGCATAGACTTAAAAAAAGGGGCGGTCACTGTATTTATTTTTTTCAACAACATTATGTAGAATGTAGATTGTAGGTAGTACAAATTATTGTACCTGTATATTTTGTATTTTTAAATTTAGAATTTAAACCCATCATTATCACAATAAATGTAACATAGTACACTATTTCTACTTCTATATTATTTGAATGTTATCTGTATTGCGGTATTGGTAATTTAGTATACTCGCGGATGCCGATCTTGTTCATTGTCGTTATTATTTTTATAATTGTGGATTTAAGATCTTTTTTCATTTGTACGNATACCTATACTATATAATAATAATACATAATACTTATTTATAAACAATACATTCATTTTTCATTGCATATAATGTATACTTTTGTACCTATATACTTTTTTCTTTAAGAGGGCGTCTGTCAGATTTTTTTTTGAAGTGGGCGGTAAAGATAAAAAGTTTGGGAACCACTACAGTAGAGTAACGCCTTATCATCTAGTTGGTATCATTTAATACGTGTATACGGTATCATTTATTTACGTTATCAAATTTAATTTTCTTTAATATTTATACAAATATATTATGATATAACCATAGAAAACAAAATAAAAACTGTATAATATACAGTTATACGCGATGGTACGCAAAACCAGTGCTAACCTAGTGTTTTATTTGTGGAAAAATTCTCGCAAATAGAAGCATAAAACCAGTAAAACTCAAAGAACATCTTGTTTCGTTACATCCTCAACATGCATCAGATAATTTGGAAGTCTTTCAAACAAAAAAGGCACGTTTTGAAAAAGGTGGTACATTAACCGAACTTGGATTTGTACCTCCACAAAAACCATGTCTCAAAGCATCTTACAAGGTAGCGTACCGCATTGCTAGAAATAAGAAACCACATACTATCGGAGAATCATTAATAAAATCATGTGCATTAGAAATGGTAGAATTGGTTTGTGGTTTAGAACAACGAAAAAAAAATTGAAGCTGTACCTTTGTCAAATGACACTATTCACTCCAGGATCTCTGATATGTCAAATAATATTTTTGAGCAAGTAATTTCAGAATTAAATTCTACCCATTTTCCATTTAGTATGCAACTGGATGAAAGAACTGACATTTCTAAATGCAGCCAGTTATTAGTTTTTGTGCGTTATATGTGTTCTGGGACTAGTAAAGACGAATTACTATTTTGCCAACCACTTTTGGAAAGTACAAAGGCAATAGATGTTTTTGAAATGATCACCAATTTTTTTTCAAAACAAAATAAATTATAAGAAAAATCTTGGTTCGCTGTACACCGATGGTGTTCCTGCGATGCTTGGTAAATCATCTGGTTTCACAGCTTTGATAAAGAAAGAAATTCTTGACATTATCACTCATTGCTTTCTTCATCGGCACGCTTTGACATCTAAAACTTTACCAACGGATCTAAAAGAGATAATGACAATTACAGTTAAAATTGTTATTTTTATCAGAGCTAGAGCATTAAATCACCGACATGAAGTTCTTCTCTATCACACAGAAGTACGTTGGCTTTCCAGAGGACAAGTTATGAAACGCGTGTATGAACTTCGAAAAGAAATTTCTTTTTTTTTAGTTGAAAGGCAAAGCTCACTTGCAAAACATTTCAATAATATTGAGTTCATTCATGGATTGGCATATTTAACAGATATTTTCAATCATTTGAACGAAGTAAATACATCGATTCAAGGGCGAGAAGTGACAATTATGGATGTATCCGAAAAAATGAATGCATTTTTAAGTAAAATCCCCTTGTGGAAAAGAAGATTACAGTCAGAAAACTTAGCAAACTTTCCAACACTTGACCACAAACTTTCACAAAATAATATTGTTTTATCTGGTTCTATACGTACACAAATTTGTGAACACCTTGACGTTCTTGAAAATTAATTTGGTGGTTATTTCAGTTCTTACGCAATCCTTTTATTGTTGACTTAAATACTATTGATGATTCAGATCTTGTTAAAGATGAGTTAATTGATTTAAGATCAAAAGAAATAACACGGCAAGATTTTCAAACAAAAAATTTAATCGAATTTTGGTGTTCATTGACAAAGGCTTATCCGCTGGCTGTATCTAGGGCAGTGAAATTTTTGATTCCATTTTCCACTACATATTTCTGGGATTTTGGGATTGGGACTGGGATGTTGGGATTTTCTTAAATGGTTACAATCAAAAAAAATCATGAAACCGATTGGATATTAAAAATGATATGTGTATTGCTCTGTCTAAAACAGTCCCCGATTTCAAAGCGATAATACAATCGAAAAAACAGCAAATGTAACTAAACAAAATTATGTATTTAATACTAAGTCTTATATTATTATCATTAAAAAATAATTTTAATTAAAAATGTAGTTTCTTTTTAAGGGGGTCCATGGTTATAGTTTATACTTGAAAGGGGTCCATAACCAAAAGAAGGTTAAGAACCTATGCTGTATATTAATGCGTGAACAAAGAATTAAAAATGAATTACTTATTAAATATGTACCTAATAAACTGAAAATATAATTTGCCCTTCATGAGTATCTATTTTCATTGAATTATACATTTTTTTTATATTTTTGAACTAATAAATGAAAAATTGTTATGGTAAACAGCAAACAAGGCTGTGTTTTCTAGAACAGCACCTAATATAATAAGTTGACTGCTGTAAAAAATGAGTATTTAAATGTGGTCAATGACTGTTACCTATTACCTGTTACCTACCTGTTGACATCACATTTAGACGAGACAATTTCAACGCAAAATAAAAAAGCTGTCTTACAACAGGGGCGTCTCCAGACCTTGACTATGGAGGTGGGAGGGATGAAATAATTAAATTTTATATTAATGATTGATAAGAAAAAAAGACGGACATACTTCGCATGATGGGTGGACCACTATTGTAGATGAGAAGTTGAGAAAGGAGAATATTGAGGGAAATCTAAGGTATATCAGTACTTAAGTAAATTTAAACATTACTAACAAAAAACGATTCTGAGCAGAGCTTAATTAATAGTATTGCTCAGGGGCGTCTTCGGGGCAAATTTTGCTTTGATTTTTAAGTGTAGCACCTTTGCTGAAAGGAAATTGGAATGAGGATGTACTTTGAGCTACCTTTAATAATATAAATATTACAATTTGCTTTGTACTTATATTCTAATTTTTAAAATATCTGGTAGAAAAGCTGTCCACAGAAAAAAAAAACATCTTTGTAGTACCATAAGCTTCTTGGCTTCACTCAGAATCTAAAAATTACAAAATGAAAATAAAATATAATAATACCTATACAACCATATACAATTTTAGACTTTTTAGTTATAAAATGTCAGTTTTTACTTACTTTTATTCAGTAGGTACTAGGGTGGTCCATTAATTTCAAGTTGACTAATATACTATATTGTTTATGGTATAGTTGTTTACTGTGTACTTCATTACTGTATAAAGTACAGAGCACACTGCGTAAGTTTATCTTTCATCATTCATCATATTCCATAATATATTTATTTTTGAAATCAGTTATGAAATGGTTATCCCAATTTCAATGTATTATTTATATTCCTATTTATGGATTAATTTGTGATTAGTTGGTTAACAGCTGTCAGTTACTCGTTTTCTATAGGTATAATGTACGTATTTAATAATTTTTCTTTGAAAATATTGTCGTAAATTTAAAATATGGCTAGTTCGAGAATAAGAAAAAATGTTTTGGTTTATGAATATAATTAAATTGATGGTAGTAACTTTGTCCAATTAATCTAATATTTTGTGAAGTTCATATTTGTATGTATAATACACTGTTTTAGTGGGTTAGACAAAAACAATTTTAATTTTTTTTTTTTTTATTATCTATATTTAAGAACCACCCTAGTTGGTACTATGTGAATATAATTATTTGACTAAACAGAAATGCTTGAACATTTAATATGAGGTTAATTATAAGTTGTATTTAATGGACAAAAAGAAAAAAAGAAGTCAAGTGTGATGTAGTAATATTTTTTTATAATGGTTTTAAGATTAAATTTGAAGAAAATTAGAAATGTTTCCTATTCTTTAAAATGATTTTAAATTATGTATAAAAGATGTCCTTGGATAATGGGGATGGGTGAAGCCACTGTTATAGATAATTTAATGTATACCTGTAAGCAACAATAAATCATTGATAATGAAAAAATGATTCTGAGTGGAGTTTAATCGATAGTGATGTCAACAATATATAAATATATGTAATTTTATGGTCAAAAATAATTAAACAAGCTTTATATATATTTTTTAATAATATATGTTTAGTGTTGTACCGATTTTCCCAGTTTTTCTGTTTTTCACATTTGGTGGGAAAACTCTGGGAAAAATGGAAAAACATCCTTTCCAAAGTACCTCCCCAGTGAAATTATCTTTCAAAAACATTGCTATCATTAAAAGTTAGAGCAAAATTTCAGGTAGAAAAGTTGTCCACAGAAAAAATTAAAATAAACATTCTTGTAAAACCATAAGCTTCTTCTGCTTCACCCAGAATTAAAAACAATTACTTTTAATCAATACCAATGATGTCCTCGATCACCAAATGAATACACATAATCTAGAGACCACTTTACCAATTATTTATTTATTGATGAATCATTATATTTAAAAGTATATTTTATAATCAGATATTTTTAAAAATAATCATTATTTCATTGTATGTACTTGAAATTTAATTTTTTTTTAAATGAATATCATCAACAAATTGGAAATTTTTAGTTTTTTTTTAATTTAAATAATGTCAATTTATTATAATAAGCACATACTGGTTTTAAACATTTTTTTTTCTTGACATTCCTTCTACCTTCTTTGCATTACCTTTATGTTCATTAATGAAATTTTATATTAAGTTATGTTATCTTAAGTGTATATTCTATTCATCACACATTTAAAATTAGGTACATTACATTTTATACATAATACAAATACAGAAATCGATATTTAAATATTAACCCATTATTCAAAATTTAAATATTTTACATTAAATCTATTGCTAATAGGAAATAAGTACACAAGTATGTATAGAAAAATAATTAAAAAAGAATTGATGGTTTTTGATCTTATAATAATGAGGATGACTTTTAAGATTTTATATACTAATGTTGTAAATGAACAATAAAGTATACATTTGGTAATTGCAATCTACTTACTTATCTAAGTCTTATTACATAATTAATAAAATTTATTTAATACAGTCACAGGCACAGAAAAAAATACATGAATTTGCTATTCCTAATGTTGGGTTAATCATTGAATTACTTATCACAAAAAGAGTAAACGTATACATTAAACATTTTTCACAAGAATTACACAGCATAACATTGGTTTATTTATAATATCAAGATTATTTAAAAAGTAAATAATGATAAAAAAAAAAAATCACCGTTTATTTATTATAATTCACAGTTGTTATAAAAAAGTAAAAATATTAAGTATAAATCAAATTTGTAAACAATTTTAATTTAGGATACTTTAATATAAATCGGAAATTAACTATTATTTTAAAAAAAAAAACTTAAACTACATAATACTGATTGACACCAGATAACTAGTGGTCAATGGTTTAATTTTTAATGTAATATAAACATTACCATTTTGCAACAAAAGGTTGCGTAATATGACATAAATTGTGCATGAATATTAGTAAGACATACAAAAATGTATCTATTTTGTAAGTTTATTATTTTGAATGGAATTCTTTGATGCACAATTTACAACTCCAGCAGCCTTCTGGGGGTGATGTTAGTGGAGGAGTTAAACAATAAACATGATAGCCACGATCACAATCATCACAAAATAGAAGTTGATCCTGTATATCAATGATAAAAATTAACTATTAATTAAATTAAGTATAAACATTAAATACTTACATCATTATCTGATGTTCCACAAATTGAACAACATTTACATTCAATGCATTGCCAACGATATTTTCCAACCGAAATTATCATGTTTGCAGTAAATTGGAGACATGTTGGATGACCTTTGAAATTATCAAATATTTTCAAAATTAAAAAAAAAAATATGTATGCTAAACAATTTACCTGAACGGCCGCAGTCTGAACAAGAAATTAATATTTCAGGCTGACCAGATTTATTGGATACTTCATCACCCAAACAAAAATCGCAGTAAGGTGAAGGATTGGCAGATTTTGCACCAGTTTTTGACTTAGAATATCCCTAGAGTAAAATAATGATTATATGTAAATATATATTATATCATATCAAAGATATTACAATTATTACTTCTTTTGAACCCTGTTTATGTTGAGATGTTTTTGTTGAAGTTGCTGTTGATGGGTATACTGTTGATGTATTACTTGAAGCTGCTTCACTTGAGTTTACTGATGCAATAGACAAATTATTTTGATGATTCATCCTAGCCGAGACACGTTTGGAGTGGAGAGCAGGAGAACTCACTGGAATATTGTTGCTGCTTGATGGACCTGAAACACATTACCATTGATTCGGTCCAAATTGTGCCTTGACCAAACCATGCTTTAGGTCTCTACAAATCACAATGCATACTTCAAACAGTCTTGTAGTAGGGAAGTAATTATTTCCCAGATGTGTAATGCACTGCAACTTGCACGATTATAATTTTAAATTTATTATTATTTATACTAATAATAATAGGTAAAACTACTAATTATAATAAAACTAAATAAGACCAACTGACAAACTTAACTACTTATGTTCTACTACAAATAAATAAATATTAAACTATTTCATCTTGTTTCTCCATTATCAATGAACCTTAAAAAAAAAAAAAAAAAACAAAAAAACAAAAAACAAACAACACTTACATAAAATGTAGTGCTAAAAATTTAATATTAAAAAATGATTTCAATCTATATTATTTAATGTGCTTGTATTAATTTTGAGCATTTTATATATCTAATGAAAACTGAAAACTGATAACAATTTTAAAATTATATTAAAAATATATATTTTATGGCTAATTAATTTTAAATAGTACAATAATAATTAGTATTGTTTATAAATAGTACTGTAATGCTATTTATAATGCTATAGTATTAAGTATATATATAAAAAAGGGTACATCTTTATATAAGTAGGTGTCTTAGGAAGAAAGAAAGGGATAACTATAAAAAATAAAACAATATTTATTTATAATTTGCATAGTTTATTTAAATTAAACAATGTATTAATACATAACCCAAAATATGTCCGGAGTACAGCACCCTTGCCTTAATGAATTATACGGACTTAAAATAATCTGAGATTAACTAAAAAATGAATACACAGGAGACAATTTCCAATTTTAAGACAAATCCATTATAAAGAACACATTAATAAACTTAATTTTTTATTTAACTAGAAAAGATATGTATTTGAAATAATACTGTACATTTTTTAATTTTTTTCATTAAATACAAATTGTTTTCAAAGTATTTATATACAATGAACTACCTTAAAACTGGATATTGTTCAATAAATAAACTAACTTCATATATGTATTCCCAAAATATAATTTTACTTAAACAATTGATGAATCATATTTATAACTCATAAAGTACTACATTTAGGACTAATAGGTATGCACTATGCAGACAATTGTGTTAAAATGATAAACAGTTATGAATATGTATATTATATTATTATATACACAATATGTATAGTTATAATTACTGTTCCAAATATACTATGTTTATACCAAAACTATAATTAAATAAGAATAACTTGTTAACTAGCCCAATATGTTTAAAATTATAGTTAATGGGTTTTTACCAGTGATGGGAAAGTTCTTTTTCAAAATGAACTAGTTCAAGTTCATCAAATTAAGATAAGAGTAAATTATTTATTTTAATAACTCTATTTATTAAAATATATAATATTTTATGTAAGTATAAACAAATGGTTTATAATTTATTTATGAAATAAATTAACGTTTTTGAGTTAAGCATAGATAATATTTACTCATCAGTAATTTTCAATATTAAAATATTTATTCAACAAAATATTGTTCAAATGATATCATTATCTTTCAACCTTTGAACAATAGTCAATGGCATATACTAATAAATGGTCTACTTTATAATATTATGAAAACTGAAAAGCTATAAATAATAATATAATATTAAAATTACCACCACAGATCAAAATGTTACATATATATAAATAATAAAATCAGAAATATTTGTTATAAAGAAAAAGTTTTAAAAATTTAGTATTTAAGTATTTAATATAATGCGTAATATCAATAATAAAATTAATAATAGGCGATAGTATTATTGCATGTGGGTTTTGAACTAACGTTTTCATTTTCTCTTTCATCTCAGTTATTTGAGGTTGAACAACCCTCCTCTCTCATCTTCTCTTGACCCAATCTCCCACCTTGTATACACAAGTGTTCTCATATCATATAATTTTCAATAGGTTCCAACCACCTCTTTTTCAGTCTTCCTGTTCCTCCACTCATTTGATTAAATACAAATAAATACTAAACACTGAATAGTAATAAATTACTAAATTCTTCCATAGAAATGATTGTAAAAATAATTGCTGAAAAATACTTAGCTCTATATGACTCATGCAATATAATAAATTATTATTTTTTATAATTATACATTTTAAATACTGATTCATGTCATTATCTTTTATCTATATTTTATTTAAATAAATATTCACTTTTAGTCTTAAAAGTGTAATATTATTAGTAGGATTTGGGATTTATTGCATATAAAATTCACAATAAAGTTCTTAAAAACCTCAAAAACGCCTTGAAGAAAATATTATAAGACCAAATAGTAAAAGGGTTTAAATGTCCCTCCTCTAACACCTTTAACTTATTAAATACCATTTTTTAAAGATACACAAATTATTAACCCATAGTTTTTTTTTTTTTCTATAATAGTACAATTTTATTTAAACAAAATAGATTTTTGATAATAATTTGAGTCAGTGTTAGAAAAATATATTTAATAATTTAGATTTGATAGACATGGAAAATTTAAACCATTTTACCATTTTTCTAAATCCTGAACCCTAATTATTAGTATTAAACATAATTATCGTCTATAAAAGTTAACTTGCCAATAAAACTGAATCAAAACCGATATATTGATAATAAACAATAAAAACAAAGTTTAAAATTCCAGTTTATTTACTTAAAATTGACTAGTTAATAGCTTATTCACACAAACTGAACAATAGTTCTTTCCCATCACTGGTTTTCACTTATCAAAGGAAAAAATAAGATATAACAACAATTTAAAAAATGTATATTATTAATTCGATGCAGTTAAGGATAATAAATATAACAAATAATATTTAACTAAAATATTAATAATTAATTCAATTTTTTTTGTTACAATATAAACTGTATGTACTTTCCAAAAGTTTTTGTAAAAATAATTCTCATTTTAAAATCAACTAAAATAATTGTGCATATAAATACTTTTGACTGAAATGAATGATAAAAATAAAAAATATATGCCATTTTATAGGTAACTAGTTAACAATACTTAAAGAAATTTACCTTTTAGGTAAATATATTTACTTGATAAAAGTTGTACTTTAATTGTATTTGTTAATATAAATTTCAAAATAATTTTTTTAACAAAAATAATAATTACAATTTTAAAATAGACTAGAAAAAAGAATATTTCTTAAATAAATAATAAATAACATTTAATGGGAACATAATTATATTAAATTATACTTAGTAAATTTGTTTTAAATTAAAATTATTGTATTTAACACATTTGTATGCATATTATAAAAAGCATAAGTTTAAAATTAAAATTATAACTGTTATTAAATTGCTTGTAAATTATTAAATGGATTAATATTATTGCTCAAGTTCATTAAAATGAATTTCCTTTGATCAAATGTATATTATTTTAAATAAAATCAATGAGAAAACCAATAAAAATAATATATATTTTAACTTTGTTGTATATCACCTTAATAATAAGAATTTAAGTAATAAAATAATTGACTAATTCTTTTCTAACTCAACTAATCTTTGATAAAGATATTTCTTAAGGAAGTAGGACCCACATGTGCTCTCTTTGTATTACAGACACACCAAAATTATTATCATCCAGCCAAATTTATGATGTTAGTTTTAATAAAAGGGTAAATTGACCTATTATCAAATTTAAGCATTAAGAACATCCGTGTTTATATGATTTTTTTTCTTCATATTTAAATTTTAATATTTCACATAATTATCTTGCTAAAAAATTAAAATTTTGAAAAGAAAAAAATAAATAAATAAAAACACATGTTCTTTCCTTAAGTATGATAATAGACAAATTCACTATAATATTAAAATTAATACTACAAAATCATCCTTGCTATACACAAATTTGATGACATGCGTTTGTAAGACATAGACAGCACGTGCAGGTATCTTTTTTCTTAATAAATTGAAAATATTAAATAATTTAACTGCTTAATGAATAAAATGATTGGTGTAGTTATAAAGTATCACAATATTTTTTTTTTTAGAATGTACATTGTTATCAATAAATTAAATGATGTATAAAATAATAACTTAAAATTCAATACAATGGAAGGAAGCTCATGATTTATCCCAGATTATGTATAATACTGAATTTATTTTGTGTCACACAAGCATATATATTTTTTTTTTTTTGGCATTTTTAAAATCTTTCACAATAGTTATTAAATTTAGTACTACATATGGAATATACTAAACATCTATACTAAGTGATTTTATTCAGTACAATATATGGTTAAAGTTCAATAATATAATTAGGAATGTCTGATGTCATAAAAAAAAAAAAAAAAATTGTTAACAAAACAAACCAGATTATAGAATACTATCTATACTATTGTGATGTTATTATTTTGGTTTAAGGACGTGGTTAAAAGTCACTGCCACCAGTATTATAATCATGTTGCCATAAATTGATGTAAAGGTATGGCCAAACGACCTTCACCACTAAACCCTTATATAATTTTTTCTGTCATTTGGGATGTGTCTGCCACCTCCATCTTATCCTTCAAACAAAAACAAACAAAAGAGGGACTTTATTTTATTTTCATTCTTTGAAAATTAGTAGTGAAATATATGTTTTTGTTTAAACATCACAATTAAGCGCATATGCACTCTCGACACACAGGAATACACAGAGCTGGGAAAAATCATGAGATTTGAAAACATTATGTATTAGTAAGGTATTGGTTACACAATGGGGTATCCTTAAGAGGATGCCTGCATGTGCTATCTCTATCATACAATTATGGGAAATTACAAATGTTTATCAACAGAGACAACTGTACTGTTTATTTTAATATTAGAGTGAATTAATGCCCTATGGTTGATTTATACCTTATTTGTAATTTTTAAGCAAGGTATGAGTATGTGAATTATTACAATTGAAAAATACATATCTTGCTTAAAAATTAAAATAATGAATAAAAACATGTCACATGATATAGACAATGTCTTTATCTTTAGGTTTGATAATAGATCAATCCACTTTAATAATAGAACTAAGAAAACAGTTGTCCCTGCTGAAAGAAAATTTCCTATGTCACATAATTGTATGACAGAGACAGTACATGTAGGTATGGTATCCTCTTAAGAGAAATTAAATATTCTGAATTTAAAGTAGTTTAAATCATAAATCAATTTGTATTTTTTACTCTGGGTTGCCAAAAAGACTGGTAAAGCATTGTCGTTTTAAAATTTGATTAAGTTTTTTTGAAACAAGTTTGGTTCGAAGATATAAACCTTAATAAAATTAAATAAATCCTAAATCCGTACAATCAAAAAGACTTCAAAATTACAAGATTTCTTAAAACTTGTATTAAAGTCATTTTGATTTTAATTCATGCCCAGCTCTGCATATAAATGAGAGGTACAGGGAAAAATTAACTCATAAAATAAAAAAAATATTAAAAATTCTAATGCACCCAATAAAATCATTTTAAAACAAGTGCTTTCTGCTTATATATTAAGAGTAGACCATGGTAATTATATTTTGTTTTTGACCTGCATGAATATTATGGTTCCGTGTACCCCTCATATAATATGTATACTGTTTTTTATGTTGTTAATAAGCTTTAATTACAACATAAATTACAAACTACACAAGAAGAATAAATTATAAAATTATTTTAAGCTAATGCTAATTTTTTGTATTTAATTTGTTGCATAAAACGACTAACGCTTACCATAAAAATTACATTTTTACAGTGTAAGGCATATTATCAGACTTTATCATTTAATAATAATATATACCAATAGTAACAATAGTAATAATTTTTAAAATCAAGTGTTTAAAATAACAGTTATAGATAAAATTAAAATAAGGAAAAAAATGTGGTATTATTAAACGATTTTGGTAATAACAATTTTGTCCATTTAGTAATATTAGTAATCATTCAGTACATTAACAATCCACAATTAATCAGAAGTACTGGTGGAATTTTTTTACAACATTAAATCAAACTAAAGAAGAAATTAAATATCAATTCATAAGCAATTTTATAATATCTAAATATTATTGTCTAGTAAATAGTAATCACATGCAAACGGTACTCTATGGTGCTTAACTTGTGAATACAATATTTTAAATAACTTCTATAAAATCCAACTCCGGGTTTTTCTTTAGTTTATTTCACTCAACTATTAGAAATGCATTACAGTAATTGTTATAAGTGCACAAAAATTCTATATCCACTGTAAGCAAAATATAAATATTTTTTTCTTCAAATATTTACTAAATACACATTTCAAAATAAAATAACTATCACTTCTACAGACTAATCACAGACAATTGGATTCCACTATTATAATCTATACTCAGATTACATAACATAAAATATATGAATTAAAACCCACTGGTAAAATACTAATAGTTAGGTATTGCATGCAAAGCAAAAAACGCACAGAGAAAAAAATATAATAAATTAAACAGAAATGTAAATGAACGAATTATTAAAAATACATTATTTTATTTTACATAGTGAGATTCAATGTTAAATAAAATTGTATTATATTAATTTTTTAACTTTTAAGTCATATATAATATACAAACACTAATAATATTATTGTATTGATCTTACATATCACTAATATGTAATAAAATAGAAATTTGAACATTATCACCCAGTAACAAGTCAAGTTTAAAATAAAAGTTAATGAATAATATAAATAAATCATTTTTAGATTTAATGTATTAATTGTTATTGAAAATAAGTTGAAAAATGATTGATGATCTGGGGACCTGGTAAATCATGAATTGGTTAGTTGAATAAAACAATATGTTTTAAAAATATTAATAATTTATACTAATCTAATTAGTTATATGATTATCATGAACAAAAACAATTTAGAATATAATTTTAATTTTAAAGAAGAAAAATAAATTATGGAAAAACCAGAGAGCTATAGAGCGTGCAGCCAGAAGAAATTTTAATTCAAAGCCATTTAGTGATTACCAGGGGTATTTAGAAATGTGACATAACTATCCTGGAATTTGCTCCAACCTGTTGTAGTATGTTGGTGATCAGACTGCTGTGTTTGTGGAGACACAGGGGTTGAAACTAACCCACTCTCTTGACTGGCCTCTTCCTCTATGGGTATATTGATAGCGGCCTTTTCCTTGTGTGAGTGGGTGTAATGATATGTTAGACCAGGCCGAGTCTTGTAACGAGCTCCACATACTGAAACATTAGCATGATACGCTAACACCTCATAGAGCCGGCATAATGATCACAACAAACAAAACACTCAAACGCAAACAAGTTAAGACTAAAATAGTGACGCGTAATGACACCAGCCAAACAATATACAAAATCATAATAAAAAAAATCTAGTAGATATAAGATATAATAAGTTGCATTTTTTTGTTTTTACATAAATTACACACCATATTTAAGTAAAAAGTATGAACTTTAAAAAAAAAAAAAAAGGATAATTGTAACATTTCTAAAACATATACCTAAAGACATGTAACATACACCTATTTGTATGTAAAATGTATGATGTGCAGGGAAGCTAAATTATATTATATTTATATAAATATATATATAAATCATTCCATTGTGATTTACAAACGCAACATGCATTTTGGTATATTATACTTATTTAACACAAATTGAAATAATATGGGTAGAAATAAATGCAAGTTTATTGCAAGTTAATCTTTAGGTTATAAAAATGTTAAAACCATAATAAGTATAATGACTTAAAATAGCATAAACCGAGAAATTAACACAAATGCAATATATGTACTCACGGTCACAAGCATAGGGTTTATCAGGGTCCTGCAGATCAATAAAACCAGACATCCCTTTCTTTCTGCCTCTTCCAGATGTTGAGCCCTGTATAAATTAATTTAAATTATAGAACAAGAATAATTAAGTAAATTCTATTAACTTTTAAATTATAAATAATAATTTATCATACCTTTGTACTACGCCGACCACTTGTACTTTCATTATTAGAACTGTTACGCCCACTCTTACCACATTTCCGTCTCTTACGTTTAGTATAACTTTCCTCATAATCATAATCAGAATCACCATCTGGTTCCTCAAAACCTTCCATATCTTGAATTTCGAACTCATCATAATACCATTCCTAAAACAAAATAAAAAATTGAGTTTTATTTATTTTATAAGGAGTACCATAAAAAATGTATAAAAAATTATTAACATTCCACTGCGTTTGAATATTAAGAAAGTAATTTTTAAACAGGTTAAATTTAAAAAATACAAAACCTAAAAATCAGTTTTAACTCTGAGCTATATTAATAATCATTTTCTGAATGCCATGATTTAATCACTACTTTAAATGAATTTACTAAATATCATAACTTTTAAATAAATACTTACAGATGAAACTTTACTATTAGAATTATTTTGATTAGTTGGTTCATCTTTAGAAACTACAGTGTTAGTTCCTAAGCTGTCTTTGCTATCTTCATTATTTGAAATTGCATTTTGGCTATCCCCAGTATTTAAATCGATATTAAATGAATTTGTTCCATCTCCAGAATCACCACCACTTGCTAAACCTAAATTTTTTTTAAAAAAAAATATTATCAAGTTTAGATATAATTATTTGATAATGAATATCATGTTTTTCAACTATATGTAATTACTATAACTAATATAATTTCATTTTTAAACATCAATATAAATATAATATAAAATGTAGGTAAGTGGTTCTTAAGCTGTGGTTTGCAGCCCCCTCCCCTGGGGGTTCCGCGATACTCATGTCAGAGGTCCTCAGCTCTATTGGTAAATATTGATTATGATAACATGTGATATTTTGTAATAAAAAAGGTATTGGTTAGGTTTTCTAAGTCTTTCATCTGGGGTCCACGTGAATCAAACGTTTAAGAACCATTGATGTAGGTGATATAAGTACTTCTATATTATATTGTCATAAATAATTGAAAACCAACGTTCAGTATTTGACTGATAAATACCATATTATTTAAGTGACAGTTTTATCAGATTATTCAATACTTTTATCTTTTACATACAATTTAACTTTGAACAAACAACAAATATAATTTAATTAAATATATTTATATATTATTATTAATATTTTGTCAGTGTAATCTGTGTATTGTTTTTATAATTTCCAGGACATGTCAGTATCTCAGGAAATAAGAGAATTGATGACTTGGCTAGCTCTACCTATAATAATTATCTGTCAGGTCTCCCATTGTGTCCTTATTTTGATCTAATCCTTATTCTCCACTGATCAATTTGAAGTCTTTGGGAGCTGGAATGGGAAAATCTTTTGGATTCTTATGCCTCTGCATATAGAGTAGTTGCTACTAAGTCCTAACATTCCTATCTGACAATGGTTCTAATCTACTTTAGGAACAATTAGTCCTTTTATAATTATTATATTCACTAGACTATGCATGGGCCACAATTTATGATTATTTAGGTATGAATAGCAGTCCTACTTGTATCCTCACCAAACTGTGGTGATGAGTGTTGATTTTTTTTGCTTATTAATATTTTGTCATTTTGTCCAATAGGCTAAATTTAAAAAATAGTTTTTCTTATTTTGACGCCCCTTCGTCTAATCATATAATATTAATTAAATAGGTTATCAGTTTTGTTCTTCAAATTGATTTGAAAACTTAAAGAACTGAGCTTTATAAGCAAACTTAAGTTGTTAATCTAATTGTTGATATTTCATTAAATAAGAAAAATATATATATACTATTATTATATATTATAATGATTTAAAGATATCTGTGGAATATTGTCCATGCATAACATATTCTATACATAACTTTTATGTATAAAAATAAACAGATAGTTTTAATAGAAAACATCAAAATAATTTTTATTATTTTTTTAATTATTAAGCCCTAAGATATCTATTATAATATTAATAAATATACACATTAAGGCATATACCTTAATTTGTTTAAATCTATACAACACACAGTATTTATTTTACCAAGTTATCTAAACAATACTTAAATCATAACAATTATAGGTTATAACTTCAATCAGTAATCGGCTTATTGAACCAAATACATGTTACAAATTTTACTTTATTCTAAAAATAAGCACTGCTTTTGAACAATTTTAAACATAACACGTAAATCAAAATATTGAGCTGTGGCTCCATTCACTGTACATGATCTAAGGTTTTAACAACAGAGACCATGCTTTGTATGAATAAAGGTTATCATTTAATCCAACTATTTATTTTACCAGAAAATAAAGAAAAGAAATTGAAACAATAGGAGAAAATCTAATGAAAACCTGAAATAAATAAATTGTAATTTGTCTAATCATTCAAATTAAAAACATTAAGTGTTACATCAATGTTATTTAAACAATACGAATTCTAAAAAACCAAATAGTTTGTTTTACCTTATCCATGGTGGTTAATACTTTAAGAGCTATACCTATTCAACATAATTATTTTTATACTTAAATTTTTGCTACCTAATCAAAAATTGTTCAGTGAATTGTTAATTATTATATAATCTATTCAGCACTAATAACATAAATATGTATGAATAAACAAAATATACTTTAATATTGTTTACAAGTGGTTACTATACATACCTAATTATCAAATTTCAAATTTAAATAGAAAATAGCTGATCCTGGTGACGGGAGCGGCCACTGTTGTAGGTGAGAAGTTGGGAAGGTAGAATACATAAGGTTATTTTATTTATATCTGTAAGCCATGGCTTGAAAATAGACAATTCCGAGGCTCAATTCGGTAATACATAGTTTGAAGTGCCTAATTTTTTTTTTGCGATTTTCGTTTAAATTTGATTGCTAAATATGAACATTCTGCCCATTTTTCAAGTCATTACAAATATTTTTAACTGAATTACAAGAACTTCGTTTTCTTCTGATTTTTCCGAATCATTATGAAATAAAAAAACGACTTGCACCATAAGAAACAAGATGTACAATGAAACAAAAAAGGTTTCTTGTAATTCTTCGATCAAAGCACTTTTCCTAATCATAAACGTTTTCCGTATTCATGTCAAATGGTTTTCCTACGTTTTTTCCCGATTATTATGAAAACTAATTCGAAAATCAAAAAACAAAATGTATCATTAAAAACAAGATTAATAATTAAACAAAAAAGGTCACCTGTCGTTTTTCAATTGGAGCCATATTTGTGCTAGAAAACGTGATAGGTACTTATTTAAAATAACGAAATTGTGAACAAATCGTATTTTTTTCCCCCGGTTAATCGTTTTTATTTTAAATACTGTTTCGAAAATCAAAAAATGACCTATGTATTTATCAAGTTTATATTTATTAATTATTGCGCATCTGATATAGTAACCAGTCTGCTAGTGGCCACATATTAGATGGAAAATTGGGCAATTTGGTAACTCATGATGTGTGAACCCGATGTATTCTAGTTTGAGACAGAGTATAGATTGTATATTTTGTTCTCTACAATCTATTTGACATGGTTTTTCATAACAATCTGAGAAATATTTTTAATGATCTGTATACTGTGCACATGTACCACAATGTATTAGAGAGCAAAACAAGTGTGCCCTTTTTTTACAAGTTCAAAGTAAATTAATTTTATTCTATCATATATTTGGTATAAACTTACCAGATTCTTTTCGTTTGCTGGTATTGAATACGGAGGAGTTCACAGAACTACTACTACAAGTATTTAACAAATATTGTCTACGTTTCTTCTTCCATCTTTTAGAAGGATATGTATAGACTTGTCCATTGCTTAAACCAGGCATTCGTTGTCGTTCATGCATTAATAGACTGGAATGTGTCTGAGCTACACCTAAAAAATTACAGTTATAATTCAAACTTAGGTACTTTTACAACAAATATTATTTTTATTTAATTAAATAAACATTAAATCATACCTGTTTGTGTATCCAAAAACGGCATTCTTAAACGTCGCTCTATACATAATCTGGTATTAAAATTCACAGAGTTTTCAACAGCCTCTCGGTAAGATAACTCATTAATGAAACTGAAATAAAATATTATTTATACCTATAAGTAGCCATTGTTTTAAAATTATAATCATCAAGGCCAGTTGTTTTCAAACTTTTTTAACCATGACACACTTCTATCACAACATACTGTGACTTTTTTTTTTTGTCATTGTTTAATTTTTTATACAAAATTAGAACTAATAACAAAATTGATGAGTCATATTCAAACGAATCATAATTAAAAGAGTTAGGACTTCATACTTAACGAGCGGATTGTACCAGTGGTCCATCATTTAAGGAAAGCAAATTACAAAAGGCCGCTGCGCACCTAATGAATTCAGGGTATACTAGTGTGCCGTTGGCACCCAGTTTGAAAACCACTGATCTAGGCTCTAACTAATTTCATTAAGTAAAAGTAAAACAGAGTACAAAATTTGAAGAAACAAGACAAGAAGGCAAATAAAAATAAGTGGTTTTATTCAATATCGAGTTTTAACACTGGTTTTAACCTAAAATCCTAGGATCTTGTATACAAAAGAACAGTGGCTTTTATGAAGATATAAAACATAGGATTAAGTGTGGTTGGATAAAGTGGAGAGAAGTGTGGTGAGACTGACTATGTTGTAAGGCAAATAGAATTATAACGAATAGGGACGAATAAATAGAACAGAAAATGAGTGTAGCAGAGATGACAATATTCTGGTGGATGATTTGAGTGACAAAATAAAATAAAATAAGAGATGCGTACATAGGGGTAGGTTAGGCACGGTTTCAATAGTAGACAAAATAAGAGAAAATAGACATGATTTGGGCATGTCACAGGTAGAGAAATCTGAATTAGTGAAAATTGTAATGAAAATAAAAGTAAAAGGAAACAGATAGAGAGAGGAAAACTGAAAAGGATGTAATTGAGAATAGATGAGGACATCTGGTGTATGTAAAGTGCGAGATTGGATCAAGTGGAAGTTTAGAAAGAGAATTGCTGGCCTCAAAAAGTTTAGTTGAAGGAGAAGGAGGAAAAGATGCTACAAGTACCTAGGTTAATACCTATCTTTATTATGAATTAACATTTTGAATATAATACAAATTAATTAATACTAGGCAAGTATCTAATTTAAATTGTATGTACCCAATACTGATAGGTATTATATTGTAAATACAAATACATTGACAGATTTTGAGGTAAATAGTTGGGCAGAAAAACTGTTTAAATATGTTGGTAAGTATAATGATTTTTTGTTAACTGAATGTACTTTTAGATTGTCAATAATCCCACTGAACCGTAAACAAAAACACGTTTTTGCGATTTAACGACCGAAAATATATTTTTGTAAACAATTTAAACTACCATAATTCGTAAATAAGTCCCATTGATAATCATTTATTAATGATAAATATTTAAAGAATATTCCGAAAAGAAATTTAATATTTCCAAAAAATTAAAAACATGTTTTCCCTCTTTTTAATATCGATATTATGTTTTAGCACTTGATAGTTGTTATCGATTCAATACTAAGTAAGAGTAACAATACATTAAGTTCTCGACTGATAAAACTGAGAATTCTGTGAATCTGGTCAGATTAATTATTCCAGACAAACCAATATGAGATAATAAAACTACGACATATTTACCAGGTGACGGTTCTCACAAAATTGGGCTTAATCTCCACGACTGCCGCCGTCATGGTTCTTTTGTACGACGCGTCACCGCAGCATACGACACAAAGTGAGAGGGTTGACGAGGGTGATGGATCCAAGCTGATGTAATCGAGATTTTCGTGTACGCGTTGTATCGGCTGAACTCGCAACGTGATGAATAATGACGAGATAATAGGTGAAATAATATTACGGCCTCGCACGAACGGTAGGTAACAACGAAAACGGATATTGTAATATTATGGTTACGGGCAACCTAGAAACGAGTAACGATTATCCAGGGGTGGGGGGCGGCGGGTGAAGGAAAAAAAAATAGCGCCACCGTCCAGAGAAGTGAACACTCCAATGGCAGATGTCAATACGAAACTAGAAGAAGCCGTGAGAACCAGCATGCGGGGTTACGTTGACAACGGGCACAGTGGTGAAGGCCGGAACCGATGCCTGATTTGGCGGATTGTCGTGCTTCGTGTAACGTAGTCGCGGCGTCGTTTTGCACGGCGTAAGCACTATGCAACGCGTCGGTAATTTCAGGCGTCGGGTCGTCGGTCGATCGGCTTGGCTCGGCTCGAGCGGCGGTAGTCAGTTGCCTTGGTGCATGTCTGACGGCGTCGGCGGCGTACCAACGTGACGGTACGACGGGTGTTTGGTGGTGGTAGTGGTGGTACCACTAACACCCGACCTCCGTGTAGACCGCTCGGCGCGAGCGGCCGCCGTCGGCGGTGTGCAAGACGAGCGCACGATACTATTCACGATTATAATCTGTGATATTATTATTCTTATGAGATAGAAACGAGAAATATTAACATATGGCCTCGGAAAGGACGATGAGTACCTATAATGTATTGTAATATATGCTACGGCTAATATTTAAAATTGGATAATATCAAATTTTCGTCCAGTAGAACCAATTTTGAGCCGTTAGTTTTGATAATGGAGCGAATTGACCTATTATCAAACTTGGAAGCAATAACATTGTATTATAACGTTGGTTTTTATTCGATATTTTAATTTTAGAGCGAGATAAAAAGATTATCTAAATGAAAACATTTAATTTGTTTGTATCTCGTTTAAAACAAAAAATCAAAGTAGGTAGGTACACACAGATAATATTTTTACCTTTAAATTAGGTAATTTGCCAATAGAAAATTCGACATTCAGTTTTCAATATTAGCCGTAATATAATATACATTACATTATACCTATATGGATATATGAATATTGAAATACGAAATATTCAGCATCCAACAAATTATTTCATCATTTTTTACGAATTCTACAAATTATCTACCTACTATCGGTTAATAATATTCTTACCGCTTTAATTATTATTTTAATCTATGCGCTATCGTTAAAGAGTATAGGTAGGTACTTAATGAAATAAAAAATACTCAATTCTCTTTTCTTCAATTCAGGAAATAATAAGCCATTAAGATAAGAGAAGTACGGCCGCTAATCATATGTTTTCGTGGAATAATATTCATGATCGACTTACTCGACCTCACAGACTATAATCGTATATATTATAATAGATTATGATAATATTTTATTTTTAAAAAATTATACGCGGTATAGGAATGTAACTGTAGAAAATATGTCATTGGTCCCAACATTATGCAGTTCAACAGTACAAATAATCTTGACAGAACAAATAAAGTCATAGACATTTAAAAACATTTTATATACTTAAGTACGTACGTACCTATGTAGGTAGGTAATTTTAAAAAGTAGATAGGTAGGTAGGATATTTAAGGTAAATACCTTAACTCTCTTATTAATCGAATAACTAGATATTCCAGTAATACATGTAAGTTTATCTGCTGCAGTTGGCGTCATACTATTTAGGTACCTATGTCATGAAACCTTATTATTTAGAAAAAGAACTCAGTTTGGCGATATTTTATGCGAATTTATTATTATTTTTTTTTTTTTTTTGAAAATTTGAGTTTTTCATTTTTTGTAGTTGTAGGAGTCACCGTCATAACTACGAAATTAAAATAGGTAAACATAAAATGGTTGAAAAAAACAAACATAATAGCGAATGTTCAAAATAGTTCAAGTAGGTACCTGCTAAATTATTTTAAAATTATTATTATCATACACGTTTAGTGATACATTAGTGGTTAAAGCGCTTTTTTTCGGTTAATGTTTTGACTAAAATTTTAGCTGGACTCGGAATATGTAGAATCTTTATTAACAAAATTATTTTTATACTAATTTAACCATAATATTTTTCAACTTCTCGAAGGTTAAAACTTCGTCGTTTTTACTATCCTTCCGATACAAAAACACAACGTATTAATGAGTTTATTTAAATTGAATGTTTCATATTTTTAAATGACATTCTTATTAAGAAAATCACTGAAAATTAATTGTGAAACTATATAAGGCTACAAGATTTATATACAATACGTTGTGACAAGTGGCGCCAAACTAATTTTTTGTATGTGTGATGGCAATAAACATTAATTTATACTCACCTACCATCCACACCAATTACCAATTTCTGGAAACATAAAATATTATTTTCACAAAATAGATTATTTACTGAATAATGTTTAAATTTTTTGCATTATTTAATATTTTAATACATAAATACCTAGGTACTTAAATTTTTTAATTAGCATAAAAATTATTTGTATGATTATTAGAAACCGATATTGACATTTGACATAGACTGAAATATTATATTGGTTTTACAATGATGTTTATTTTTGTGTCTGTAAACAACTTTTCCACCAGATATCTTGCCTCGATGTATACCGGGACACCGAGTAATCCATTTAAATGGGTACATTCATTATCTCGGAAAATATTAACTTTTTACGGAATTTGTTTTCTAGAACATTTAAAAAACACACGGCTTATAATTTTATATTTATATTGTTTTTATCACACTTATTTTTGAGGGTAAAACCACTATCCGCTTTTGTTTTTCAAATGGCAACCTATATTAAAAATTCCATAAATAGATAGAGTATTAGTAAATTTGAGTATTGAAATTTTTGATTTCTGTCAAGCCGTTGACGAGATATTCAACTTTTAAGTTTAAGTTGTAGGAGAGTAGTATAAGTGAAAAATTAACACACAATTAAATTTGCATACAAGGTATTTTCCACTATAACCAATGCTCCAATAGAAAAACGACAAGAGACCTTTTTTTGTTGAATTATTATTTTAGTTGATAAGTTAAAAAGTCGTTTTTTGATTTTCTGGTTATTCATTTCAATAATTGAGTTAACTGAAAAAAATCCATTGAAAGAACGAGAAAATGTTCGAAAATAATGTTTTTATTATTTTCAATTTTGTTTTTTTGTTGCGATTCAGTGGAGAATATTTGTAATCTCGTAGAGACTTGAAATTTAGTCAGAGGACTTATGTTTACCTTTTATAGAAGCAGTTAAATTTTTAAATCATTGAGCCATTTTCGAGCTATTTATAAACATTAAATTTTTGAGAGTTTTCGAGTAATTTTTATTCGGTAGACAGTAAGTACTTTTTGATAAAATTGTCAGGCCAAACAGAAATGCTTGAACATTTAACAGGAGTTCTATTATAAGTCATTTAGACTTAAGTGGTTAAAAAGAAATTGAGTGCAATATAGTATTTTATTTTTTATAAGTTTTAAAATCAAATTTTGACGAAAATCGTAAATATTACCTATGGCTTTTCAAAACATGTATAACCGGACTTTGCTCAGAATCGTGTTTTGTTAGCAATAATTAATCGTTGGGTACAGATATAAATTAAATTCCCCTTTTCTAACCCACCCATCTTGTAAAGTATGTAGGTCTTTTTCAATATAAATATATGTTCATTATTTTTTGTTTGATTAGGATAATATTTTTAATTTCTAAATTTATACAAAATTATATTATTCTTTTACTACAAAAATATATAATATCTGGTACTATAACCAAAAATAGTTAAATAATAACAATACTATCATGAATTATTAGTTATAAACGCTGTTGTAGATTTAGAAATTTACCAGGTACTATTGGTTATTTATCGTAAAACTATTAATTAAATAGTTATAGTTAAATACCTAGTTATCTGTCACTTTTACAAATGCAATCACATAGCACACGCTACGGCAGTCCAGTAGTAGACTAATTCGCGTTATTTTTAATATTATGTCTATTGCTTGATTAATTATAAAATCAATGTTTATACTAAACTACCAATGCTAGGGTATACCCACTTCTTAAATTATGTAGGTTTGGCATCAGTGGACGATCCGCGGTTTAACACTCACTGTCGCTGTCGTATACCTATTGTGTTCGTATCTTATCCACCTATTTTATTGTAATTACCTATATCTTATGGATAGAATATTTGTTTATTTGTTAGATAATCCGGCTATAAAACTAATTATGATTATCTATAATACTTACTATACGATTTTGAGATTATAATGATAATTTTAAAATCATATACTTTATCTGTTTTAAACATTCGTTATTACCCAGTAGATAATAAGAATAGGCATTAAATGCATTAAATAGGTACTACTTAAACTGGTATCATGTCATAACCACGAAACTATATTAGCAACGGCAATTTTACTTATTAGTTCATTAATATTATACATTAACTCTAATGTGAATAATGTAATGCAATGGATAATATATTATTTTATTGGTATTGATTGTTAACAATCACTCCATTATAGATACCTACCACCTACTGTTATTATATTTTAATAGTTAGCTACATTTATGACCTGCAAATATAAACAACACTAATGAATACTGTGGTACTTAATAATATATACCGTAATTAGTAAAACACCAATAACTACTGAATGATTTTTATAATGTACTACTTGTAAGGTAGTTATTAATTAACTAGGTACCTTTGTCTGTACATACATTATTTTGTATTCATAATTCATTAAAGGTTTTTAAGAACAACCGTGTACTAGATAGTAGGTAGTATTGATCAATGATAGTAGTTGGTAGATGGTACGTCATTTTATGATCAGTTATTTTTATGACTTATTATTATTTTTTATAGTTCACGGTAGTACAATTATTAAACTAACGATTATACGCAAATAAATTATTTAGTATATTAGTGAAACGAACATACATACCTATTACAGATAAATAATTAAGATAGGTATATTATCTTAATTTCTACAGATAAATAATACCGAACAAATTTGAATTAAAATTTATCACACAATAAATCTTATATTATTTGCAAGTTACAATACTAAATTATTAACTAGACAAACCAATTATTCATTATCACAGACTACGTATTGCCGTTATAAATTATAAATTAATAAATCACGTTTAGTAGAATAGATCAATAGGTTTATTTGAAAAGTTTTACGTTCTTATTTTACCAATGATAAAAATACCACTAATATGCTAGCTCTCTTGTTAAAGTTAGGTAGAACTTTAGATCATATTATACAATATTAAATGATTTAATGGTTGAACCATTGATAATAAAGGTCTTTTAATAAAAAATTCTCAGCAGTAAAGGTTTTTGGCATCCGCCTTATAAAAAAATATGGAATACTCCACTTAGGAAATATGGAGTCTAGTAGTATTAATAAATTGTACATTTTATAGAAAAAAATATATATTACAGAATATTATATTATGCAAATCTACTAACTATAAAGATTTGATATGATAATTGATATCAAAAAAATTAATAATCTATTATCACGGCCATATATTCATGATAGTAATTCTGTATTACTATTGGCGGATGCCAAAAACCTCTATTGCTGGAGAGCTCTCATCACAGCTGAAGATAATTATTGTTATTTAATAGTATTCAATAAGTAGTAGTTCAAATTTCTCAAAGTTATTAAAGTTCGTTTCTATATTTCATCAAAATTTTGAAAAATAGGTTTTAAATTAGTTGATAAAATTTCTTAAACATTACATTATAAAGAAGGTAACTAAGACTTACATATTCATAATGTTAATACAAAAAAAAGAACTCTTGTTATTATTGAAACCGTACTATTGGGTTAATATAATTCTGACATGTTCATATGTGTTTTGTAAAAAAACCGACATTCTCTGCAATTATATTTTTGCAGCCGCCGAAAAACCATGTGAATTAGATACTGTGAGTAATTTTTTCCAATAAATAATTAATCATATTGTTCCTGATTTTAAATATTTTATTGGTTTATTTTTAATCAATATTTTTATTGTTTACAGAAAGATTTAGAAATATTACTATTTCTTATGATTGTTGTAATGATTCGCACAAGAAAAGCTGGAAGTGTCACTATGGTTGCTTATCTTTCTTCTAGTTTTTTGTATACAAAAGGAGCAAATTTATTATTATGGTTCTATGCAGACGTCAGATATGGTTTATTCTTTACTGTTATTATTATTGGTATGAAATTTTGATGTTTTGATTATGTGTTACTACTAAAGATCCACTACCGACATTATGTAAAAGTTTTGGACAATCTAAGAAAACATGTTACACTCATAAGGAATTAAAAAAATAATTACCTATAAATTAAATATTTTTTTTTAATAAAAAACTAATTTAAATAGATAATCAAAAAGTGATAAATTGGGTTATGTGATAGATTTTCATTGTAGTTTATCAATTTCTTATTTAAAACAAATTTTTTTTGTGATAAAGAATAGTAATTATATTACAAATTTAAAAGGAAATAGTTTTTCATGTAATTAATTGGTACTAGGGTTCTTAAATAGCTGGTTTTTGAACAGACAATTGTAGATGATGTTATACCAGGTTTATACCAGTTATTGGTATAAACCTTTTACCGGCCTATACAAAGTTGGTAATTTTAAATGTATCATTTAGTTGTATGAAAAATAATTTTATTGGTGTACATAGTAGAGTAATTAAACTAAAAAAGATCCGAAACAATCTTACGTATTTGTGTAGTGAATTTTTTGATGCTATTAGAGATCAAACAGTCTATAGACTTGTTAATTACTGTGAGAATGTGTATGAACTATGAAGTACAAATTAAAGGCATGTCTCTTCTATGAAAACGCTAACACAGCCATTTCGAAAATATTCCATAGAAGTTTTTACAAGTACGACTGGTTTTAAAAATATTTTTGGATTGCAAAAATTGAATACTTCTATTATCATTTGATATTTGAGTGAATAAATCTTAAGAATTCATTTTTAAACAACTATGTTCAAAAATGTACTGTGACACTACATTTAACAATTATTGGTTCAAAGTAATTTTTGCCAATGAAATTGTTCAATAAAACTATATTAACCTATATTAACCTATATTAACCTGTATAGTATGGTTTTTCTTGTATTTTATGAGTAAATAATAACTTATTTTATATTACATTTCATTATATTTTTATTATTACAAATGAATAATGATGGTAGGTTTTAACAAATCTGAGTGAAAGGGCGATATATTTTTCAAATGCTCAGGCGCCCCGATAACAAACCAGAATCGAAAGATACTATAGGTACATATAAATATTACTCATATTTTTCAGTTTTGTAAACATATTTAGTAAACTGATCTTAAATAAAAAAAAACAATAATTTCTATTAAGTTAAAGGTTGTTTTTAATTTACATGAAAATAATATTTTTCTTTTTATAATCTTGTTTATTACTGAACTATATAACAGCAAATTAATTCAGGAAGGGGGGAGGGTCTTTCTCTTGTTTTTCTCTGATGTGGAATGATGAAGTGATGATAGCCAATGTTATAATATATATATGTATATAAACCTGTAGTTAATATTTTATAAGTTGGAAATTCAAATTGGTACCTATTTATATTCAGAAAAAAATTATTTATTGTATGGTTGATTTATTAGTTTTATGAATAATAAATAAACAAATAACACAATAAATTGAAAAAGAATAAAATATTTCAAGTATGAAAATAAAATGTATGAATTTTATGATGGACAGTAGTTCTCAAACATTTCTATTTATGGATCACATAATCTACACACAAAGTATATATTTTTTTAAATCTGTATGGGACCAAGAATCAAAAATATAAATTTGAATCACAACTCACAAGCTCCTAAATTATTCTTGCAGAGCCCTAAGACTCTAAAAATCACTAATAAAAACCAATTAAGAAATAATATATTTTTAACATTAAATATTTTATTTTATTGTTTTATAGTGATATGTTTATTACTACCAGAGCCAACATTCTCTGGTCCAGAAAATGTAGTTTACTTTAGATCATTATCAACTTTGAAAGAAACTTTAAATGAAAATAAACCACATACTGTATGGTTGGTGTGTTTTTACACTGTTTGGAATCCTACATGTGCAAATTTTGCTCCGATATTTTCACAATTATCTGTAGAGTATGTATTTAAATATTGTTAAATATACAGGAATTATACACCCTACAGTAGAATGTTTTTATAACTTAAAGAATTTGTATTTTATGTATTTGTTGAAGCTATATAATGTTTAACTTTGTTAACCATTTTTAGATTCTGAGCATAGAGAGAGAGTATTGGTATTATTAGGAATTGTGTTTATTTTTTCAATCTGTGAACAAATTTTCTGCTAGAAAAATATATATATGTAATGAACTTTGCTCATGATGGTTTTTCATTAGCATTAGTTTATCATTGTATACAAAGATATATATATATATATTAATTATTTGTATGTATCCTCCCAATTTCCCAATACAACTGTAAAACATTCATCCTTAGTATCAGCTCTCTTTTTATGTTAATTTGGGTCCTTACAAATAATTTCTACTGTATATTTAGATATTCCGGTACTTTTTAATTGTATTATGTTTGTTTGTATAAACTATTTTTAATATAAATGTGTTTTAGGTATGATTCAAAATATCTGAAGTTTGGTAAAATTGATGTTAGTCGGTATCCTGATGCTGCTAAGAGTTTTAATATAAATAACTCAGCACTTAGCCGACAATTGCCAACTGTAATCGTGTTTAAAAATGGTGAAGAAATATTTAGACGGCCAACATTTGATAGCAAAGGAAAAGTTTTTAAATTTTTTTTCACAGAGGTATGAATTTATTTTATATAATGGTATGTGACAAAAATAAATACTATTTTTCTATGTTTTAGCCAAATTTTAAAGCATCTTTTGACTTGAACAATATTTACAATCAATGTAAAATAACAGAAAAGAAAAAGAATGGTGAAGATAAACATAATATTAATAAGAAGGATAAAAAAAAGGCTAATTGAATTAAAAAAAAAAAACAAAAACAAAATGTATGTAATCATGTGTATGTGTTTATGTGCACATATTCATTTTAATTTAATGCAATTTTCAATCTAAATAATTTTAGTGAAGATGAATGATGAATGTGCACATTTTTTTTTGAGATTTTACTGTGACATTATTAAAGTATTATAATGAACCAAAATCTAGCAATGTTAGATATAGAGATTTTTGTATAAAAATTAGATTTATAACATTTTTTCTCATTAATATAACTTTAGAGTATTTAAATTAATTAGAAGTTACAGACTATTGTCATAAAATTAAACTTAACTAGTCATTTGATATTTAAGTATTGTAATAATTTAAAAGAAACATTCACTCCAAGCCACAAATATAATACATATTAATTCAAAGTATTAAATATTTTATATACAACAGTATTAACTTAGAGTAGAATTTATTCCTTTTTTGTATCAATTAACAAATGTATTCAATTTTATTTATTTTGTGATTTTTTAAAATACATTTCACTTATAAATAATGGTATTGAACTATATATAATAAATGTGCTTTGTTATTTAAAATTTAATTATTATGAAATTTGTAAGTTTTTGAGTTGAGCAAAATTTCAGGGACAAACTTGTTTTAAAGGTCCCCAACTCTTAGTATCAGCTCTTTTATTTTTTTAATTTAAAATTTTAAATGAGTAACAGACAAAATTAGATTGAAAAATCAATATTAATTTTATGTTTTAAACTTAAATACCTATTTACATAATATCATATCTTATAGCTTATAGATACCTACGTTAGTATAATGAAATATGTTCAACTTCAAAGTATGGTTATCTACATACTATTACCTATTATAGATAACATTGATAAAAATTCATTTAAATATTCATTTAAATTGCAGAATACAATTTTTTAATTGTTTAATTTCAGTATTTACGTAAGTACTACTATATAACTAAGTAACTACAATGATTTTATACAAATCTTAACTTAAAATTTATTAAATTGTCTTTTAGGTAATGTAAAATAATTAATTATAAAAATACTTACCAGTTACCGAACACTAAAGTTCTTTGTTATGCCACCAACCAATACCCTCACGTGACTGTTAAATTAAACCATTGGAATGTGAATAATAAAAAAATAATGAGCTGATCCTGGTGACAGGAGCGGCCACTGTTGTAGGTGAGAAGTTGGGAAGGTAGAATACATAAGGTTATTTTATTTATATCTGTAAGCCATGGCTTGAAAATAGACAATTCCGAGGCTCAATTCGGTAATACATAGTTTGAAGTGCCTAATTTTTTTTTTTGCGATTTTCGTTTAAATTTGATTGCTAAATATGAACATTCTGCCCATTTTTCAAGTCATTACAAATATTTTTAACTGAATTACAAGAANCAAAGCACTTTTCCTAATCATAAACGTTTTCCGTATTCATGTCAAATGGTTTTCCTACGTTTTTTCCCGATTATTATGAAAACTAATTCGAAAATCAAAAAACAAAATGTATCATTAAAAACAAGATTAATAATTAAACAAAAAAGGTCACCTGTCGTTTTTCAATTGGAGCCATATTTGTGCTAGAAAACGTGATAGGTACTTATTTAAAATAACGAAATTGTGAACAAATCGTATTTTTTTCCCCGGTTAATCGTTTTTATTTTAAATACTGTTTCGAAAATCAAAAAATGACCTATGTATTTATCAAGTAGATAAAATTGATTTTCAGAAAATGTGCTACATACACTTATACATAAGAGCAAGTTTTCTAAAAAAAAAGTACCATTGTGAAAAGAATTAAAAAAGATTCGTCCGATGATTTAGAAATTTTAACACAGCTAGGTAAGTCCAATATCAGTATTATTATCAAGTTTCAAGTTTCCACTTGTATTTATAATCGAATTACAGCAAAAAAACGCTCAAAAGTTTTGGCAAGTGAACCAAAATTTTAACAAAAAAGGGGTATTGTGATTTTTTGATTAAATCATTTTTTCTGGTAGAAAACGGTTTTTATGAAATAATGAAATCGTGAAATTGTATACTAATTCCCTACTAAAGTGCTTTTATTTAAAGATATATTTAAGAAGGGGTAGGTTGTACACTGTCATACCCTTTAAACAAAGAAGTTTACACATTTTCAATTGTAGGATTAGAATATTTATTTTTCATTAAAAATGTCAATATTTGGTAATATTCATTATGAGCGTTTTAGGTAACTATTTCTTCATTTTACATTTAATATCTTTTTAGTGATTATGATAGGTAACGTAATTCGTATTGTTGTGATGATAATGAGGACTACGCAATATCGCTGTATCATTTATACAGTGGCGTATCCAGAATTTTTTTTTTTTTTCTGCTGGGGGTTAAAAAAATATAATGAATGAAGTTGTTTTGAATTTTGTGTGTGTTTTATTATCAAACAATAAACATTTTTTTACTATTTTACAGCACCAATTATATAAAAATTGAAATATTTATCTTTTTTAAAAATTATAAATGTATATTCATTCTATAACATCATTGATATCCACATTGATATCGTGATGAGTATATTTTAGTAAGGCATTTAAATGTATTTGTCCCGAAGAATTTCTCAAATATGTTTTAAAACGACAGAATGTTGAAAACGATCGTTCTCCCAAGGCAGTAGACACTGAAAGCGTTATGAATATTTGAAGAAGTTTAGATATTATTGAATAAACATTTTGACTAGTTTGGCAGTATAATACAATAGTATTTTTGTTCTTGAGTTCAGAAGATCATTTAAATTTAAATCGTTGCATTTATCAATTATATTTTGATAACTTTCTACTAATTGTTTGAATTTACCTTTCATATCTTAAGATATTTTCATTTCTTTCTTAGGTAAAATACAATTAAAACTATTCAAAACAATCATGTGCAATATAAATCTATCGTTCAATTGGTCTAAATAATTTTCTATACAAGGTATGAGTACTTAAAAAAATACTTTGGATCATCTGATCGTGGCAAACTAACATAATAATTAATATCAAATTTTTCACAGACAGTTATTACGGATAAAAGTAATTGTTGAAACTCTATACCGCAGTTCTCTTTAATATCCTGAATATTATTTTGAACATTAGCAGCTTCTAATGCAGTTTTTAAATCAAGATTTACTGTTTGAAGACATCGGCTAAGTGGAAAACTTATGGAAAGTATTTTTACTAAAATAGATAAAGCTGTTTGAAATTTTAACTGTTTATCGCATTAAGAAGAAAACTTGCAGAACTAGAAGTGTCATAATCTGTCCAAAGTGTAATTTTATCTTTTTTTATTTTTTTTTTTTCAATCCGGAGATTGGTTTTTAACAAAATGTTTTACAATAAATGACTTCTCCACTTTTCTCTATCATTTGCTATATTCTTAAGTTCCCTGTAGGAAGTGACTCTTGCATCCCGCATTATTTGACTAATGTATCTCGTCCTAGGTCTTCCTCTTGCTCTTGTACCCTCTATCATTCCTTCGATTATTATACTATGCAGTTCATTTCCATGCCTTAACGTATGTCCTATCATCTGCCATCTCCTTTTCTTTATAATGTCTATCAATGTTCGTTTTTCATCTATTGTCCTCAGGATGTCTTCATTTGATCTTCTATCAATCCAGCTTATTCTTCGAATTTTTCTCCAACACCACATCTCGAAAGCTTCTAACATATCTTTTTCTCTCTTATTTATTGTCCAGGTCTCATTTCCGTATAATGCCACACTCCAGACGTATGTTTTTAATAGCTGTTTCTTCGTTACTATGTTCATATTTTTTGATGTTAGTAATATTCTCTTTTTGAGAAATGTATTATTTGCTTGACCTATCCTGCTTCTGATTTCTTTAATTGATTTCCCGTCGTCTGTTATAATGCTGCTTAGGTATTTGAAATAGTCTACTTGGGTAATTTCTTTGTTTTCTAATGTTATATTTATAGATGGTATGTTTTTCTTGTAGCATACTAGGGTTTTGGTCTTGGCTACATTTATTTTCATTGCATTTAATGCTGCTTGTAAGTCTTCCTTAGATGTTGCAAGAACGACTATGTCATCCGCGAAGCGAAGCATTGTTATTAGTACCCCTCCTATTTTCACTCCAATTCCTTTTTGTTCTAAACAAAGTTTTATGGTATTTATTGCTTTTTCAATAAATACATTGAATATTGCAGGTGAAAGTGGGCACCCTTGTCTCACACCTTTCTGGATTTTGGCAGTCACTGTTGTTGTATTAATATTAATAATGGTTTCTTGTTCTTCATAGATCTTATAGAGAATACGTCTGCCTTTAAAATCTATCTCAGTTTCTTCCAAAATCTTAAAGAGACTTGTCCAATTTATGCTATCAAATGCTTTTTCTAGGTCTACAAAAGCCATATAAGTGATTTTTTGTCTTTCAATTTGTTTTTCAAGTATTACTCTCAGACCTAAAATAGCCTCCCTGGTTCCTTTGTTCTTCCGGAAACCATATTGATCATTTTCTAATCTAGCTTCTATTCTCTTACTTATCTGTTTGCTTACAATTATTGCCAGTAATTTAGCCACATGTGATATCAAGCTTAGGGTCCTAAAATTTTCGCACTGATTGGCTCTGGGTTTTTTTGGTAGGATAACTAATCTACTGCATCAAAAATCTCTCGGAATTTTTCCAGTCTCGTATATTTGACATAATAGTTCGTATAGAGCGTTCTTTATTTCATCTTAATTTTATCTAGTGTATGTAAAATAGTTGATTGAATTTCTTCAAATAATATTACTGCATCATGGTGATCGATCCATCGAGTTGCACATAGATTTTTTAGTTTAAAACGATTAGTCTGTGGATATACTTCTTCTATTGACAATTGCAAAATACTTTGTCTTTTTGGATAACCGAAAGCGATTATTGATAACCATAGAACTACCTATTATTATAATATACATACTACACTGGACTGGACTTGTATATTATTAGTTTGTATTAATTGTGTAAATTGATAAGTGTAATAACACTATTCTTTTTTCAAACTGTATGTTAGTATTTTTCTTTTATTTCGAAGACATTTTTTTGGGGGGGTTACAACCCCCCTGGATACGCCACTGAATTTATAATTTTCTAAAAGCAGGAAAACTACAACAAATAGAAATGACAATAATAAGTAACAATATACTATAAGTACTTACAGTCTAGTGATAAAATTAAAATAAAACCAAAATTGTATTTATCTTCCTCATTAACTACTTTTGAGACTCTGTTAAAAATCAACTTTCAAAATTATTTTCATGAAATTTCGGAAAGGGGAATGAACCCCTTAAAAAATAAAATGATAATAACAACGTTAGTACTACGTGTTTATATATTTTCGTTCTCGTCTATTCTTGTCGTACTTATAAAAAAGATTAATTGAACAGTTTCAAAAAATTAATACCATAATAGATGAATTTGAGTTTGTTTTTACTACATAGTGCGCGTTCCGTCGAATCAAGATTCTGTGTAATTTCAGTAATATTTATTTTTGTCTTGCCAATAATTAATTAATACATACTTCTTATTATTTATATCACTTATTGTTGGACCAAGTTATTTTTTTTTTGATGCTTGAGGGTGCCATTAACGTTAGTCATTTATCCCCCAGCCACCATCATTTATTGAGCACAAAACTACATCGTATGGTGGGTCTGTGGGAGGTACATTTCTGACCCCTCCAACTCGCCCAAACATCAGTCTTACATAGTTTGAAGGGGATTTCCCCCTCTGATTTGTCCTTTGGCCTACATTGATAATTATATTATTTAATTCGACTTCTAAAGATTTTTCTGACGGTCTCGTTCATACTCCTCCTTGCTCACTATAACCTAATTTATAAAGGTAGCGACCGCGTTTCACATTTTCATTGTCCAGCATCGCTTGGATCATGGTCAATGGTGAGAATCGGCCTCCAGTTAGCATCTGTAGCCTCCGTATTCTGGTTTCCCACACGTCGCAAATAAAGAGCGTGTGGAGGGCGTCATCGTTGGCGTCGGTACAAAAGTAGCACTTCGCTGAATCCAGTCTACTAAATTTATTAAGATAAGCTGCGAAGCAGCCGTACCCAGTTAGAACTTGGGTTAGATGAAAATTAAAAAGTCCATGACTTCTGTTAACCTATTTGGTTAAGTCACCAATCAATTCGTAGGTCCAGCGTCCTTTTCTACCTGCGTTCCATTTTTCTTGCGACCTTTGCTGTACTTCGTTTCTTACGTCGTGAGTAATATGGTCCTAGTTGTCTTACTTCCTATTTTGGTAAATCTGTTGTATGCACTTTGCTTGAAGTTTCAAAGGGGGGATACTAGCCATTACAAGGACCGCTTCCGTGGATATAATTTGGTAGGTGCATTCTACACGCAAGAATATCCTTTTTTGGACTTTTATCAGGGTTTTCCAACCTTTCGCACACATCTTGGCCGCCCAAATTGGTACCCCATAGAGTAGCCCGCATAGAGTAAACCGCATTTGCCAACAGGATACGTTTTCTGTGCTTGGCCGCACTTATGTTTGACAGTATTATAGATTACAATTGGACGGCCTTGTTAGCCTTGTGTGCGCTGTGAAGTTAAGTTTTTGCTTGAGTTCTACATCTAGGTACCTTAGGTAGGGCCTGGCGTTACCTGGGATCCCGCTAGATTCACGGTGAGCTCGTTATGGAGTCTTGCTTTAGTGAGGACAATTAGTTCCGTTTTGCCCACCACCAAACTCAGTTTAATGCTGGTAAACTATTGGTTTACTTTCTATGCCACAGTGTCTTTTAATGACTTCAATTTTATAGTATCCACCGCCTTCGCGATTATCACCACGTCGCCTGCAAACATTACTAGCACAGCGTTGTTCAGCAGATGAAGTCTGAGAAGTCTGTAATATAGAACATTCCATAATACTAATACTTTGTTTGCCTCATTGGCAAATCCATCCAGTCAGGGGCGATATTTCCCCTCAAGGCGCCTACGGCTGTTACTAGCTCCCCTGACTCTATTTCTGAGAATTCTGGCGGATCTTGTGGCTAGCATTACTCCGCCTCGGTGAGTCCTCCAGGAAAAGTCTATTGATAATATGGTATAACCTGCCTGGCAGGTTATACCATGGGGGGAGGGGATGGTGATTAGATTTAATGTTTTTCAGCATACCTGCGTACATAGAACCTTTGAAATTAACCAAATCTGGCCTGACTCGTAATTTTGGTCTTTTCGGAGCAATTTTTTCCTTTTTTCTGTCTTGGTTCAAGGTATCTCGCTGTCCGGTTCTTCTCTGGGGTCCTGGATGTTCGATTCACTGCTTCCCGATGTGCGTTTTTCTTGCTTGTGTTCGTCCGGCGGGTTTTTAGTATGAAACCTGTTTTTTTGTCTCTTGCTTTAGCCAAATTTTGTGGCTCGGAACGGTCTAAATGGATTTTAAGATAACCATCAAGCAGTGCTAAAATAGGCTCAAGTTTTTCATCTTGGGAGTTCAGCCATTTGTCCGGGATTTCTGAACGTGGGAACACTTTGATCATGTGTCATTGCCATTTTTTGTGGTAAAAGAGCCAGCTCGATCAGCATTTTATTCAATTCTTCTTGTAGTTTGCTCTCCGTGATTGTTAAACGTTGCTCCTTTATGGGCTCAGGATTTCGGGGGATTTGATTCTCGCTGAAGGCCACAAATATAATATGTACCTACTTATCTTATACAAAGGGCTAACATTGGACCAAATTATATCGGTGGGACCCGGTCGAGCACGACCTCTATTTTTGAATAACTCAGTTGAGCACAGTTAAATAAATGCAACGGTGCCAATTTGTTTGTTCGTCTACAACCAGTCACCGATTGTCTTTTGAAATACTCGTATACTACTATACGTAAAGCTTAGATCAAAATTCTTCAATCGTTGTGCTTTACGGTAAATTGAAATAATAACAGTCATAAAAATATAAGTTATACTGAAAGGCAAAAAATGAATGCAACTATAATGGCTTACGAAGAATATTTTACAAATAATATTCTACAGATTTACTAAAATGTTTAATTTATTTATTATACAATTTTTTTCTTTTATGACATTTAAACAAATTTGTGTTTATTTTTAAGGGCAAAAACGATAATATTATATTAAAATAGTGGGACATAAGTATTTTGCAAATAAAAAAAGACGTTCTAAGATAATGGTCGGATGTAACCACTGCTATAAGTAATTTAATGTGTACCTGTAATCAATGATAAACCATTTCTTATGAAAAAACGATTCTGAATGGAGTTCAGTTGATAGTGATGCTTTGCAAATAAAATATATGTATGCCATATCATGGTAAAATAATTAAATAGGCATTATATATTATTTTTAATAATATTTGTTTATTTTACCGATTTTCCCGTCTTTTTTACGTTTTTCCCAATATTCCCATGTTTTTTTCCTGGTTTTTCACATTTGCTGGGAAAACTCTTGAGAAAATCAAAAAATGACTTTTTAAAGTACCTCCCAAGTTAGATTTCTTTTTAAAAAAATTGCTATCATTATAAATTGGATCAAAATTCCTGGTAGAATAGTTGTCCATAGAAAAAAAAAATAAGTAAACATCATTGTAAAACCATAAGTTTCTTCGCTCCACTTAGAATCTAAAAGACACATTTATTTTATAAACAATAAAAATGCAATTCTAAGCGGAGTTTAGTTGATAGTATTGATTTGTCAGCAAAACATATTTTGTTTAAGCGAGAAATGATTCACAATCGAAGGACTAGATCGGTTTGAAAGGACCAATCACCTTTACCTTTTCGCTTGGTGGGTAGGCAACCTAACACACCCAGCCATTCCTCATACACACTGGACGGCCAAGGCGTCTGAGTACGATCCTGACATCAACCACATCGACCCCAACGGCAACAATAACGAAACTAGCGATGCGGCTCGACAGCCGGGGATGTGCGCGAGGAAGAGAACTTTTTATACTATCCCGTAGCACGGGGGGAATTCTTTGACTGCCACAAGGTGAGTCACTTACAACTACTTAAAACTAAAGAACCAAAAAATATACAACCAGTATCCAGTTCGGGTTCGGAGATGATGAAAGACGACACTTTTTCGGCAGTGGACACCTGGGCTTTCAGCACTTAAACGGATTGTGGTTGTTTATTAGAGGACCGCATTCGTCCTAGTAACAATTTGTACATTGCCGATGGAGAGAAGAAATTAGGTAGCGAAATAAAAACAAAACGAGAATGCACAAGTTGATGGTTACAAAAAGGAATATATTTATACTAACTAATATAGTAACTTAAGATAAGCAAAAATAATTAATAAAAAAAGTAATAGTAATAAGTATAGGTAACAAAAAAATACAACGATAAAACGATCGTGACACCGATGTTGCACCACCGAAAGCATGGCGGCCGGAGTACAATAACGACACTAAAATAATAATAAAAACGAGAGTAAGCAAAGGCAGCCGCGCACGCGGACATAATTACATAATAGATAGGTATTTAAATATAATATTTTTTCAACGTTTATCGCGTAGGTATACGACGGGAAACAAAAAAAAACGAACAATAATATTTTATCATAATAATTCAACACACATAATTATTTCCATATGACGGAGGAGTTTGGACGGGACGATAAGGAGTCGCCGCGACCGAAACGGTTTACATAACTTCGCTGTGCGTTGTGGTATGAACATATGTCATATTACATAAAAATTATGTTAGTCCGAAATCGATAGGACGATTTACGGGTGCCAGGGAGACGGCCCTGTAATATTGTGGTAAAATAATTACATAGGTATTATATATTTTCTTTAATAATATTTGTTTAATATTTTACCTATTTTACCGTTTTTCCCGATTTCCCCATGTTTTTCTCCGGGTTTTTCCATTTATCGGTAAAACAACTGGTAAAATAAAAAAATGACCTCCTTAAAGTACCTCCCCAGTCCAATTTACTCTCAGGAAAATTGCTACACTTGTAAATTGGAACAAGATTTCTAGTAAATAAGTTATCCACATAAAAAAAAAAGTAAACATCATTATAAAACCATAAGTTTCTTCGCTCCACTCAGAATCTAAAATAAAAATTTTAAACGATTTTTAAAAAAACTTTGAACGAATATTGAAATTGAATCTGGGAATTAATCACAAAGGGTTCCTTAACCTAAAATGGACTTTCTGTAGTCGAACAAATTCTATTAGTCATCATACGTTTTACAGATGTATCCCATTTAAAATAAAAATAAATAAATAAAATAATAATCACTTTATTTTATTTAAGAAATATGCAAATGCATAAGAATTTTTATTTTAACAAAATATTTTTTGACCTCACCTCTAAGAAAACCCAGTGGCTATTAGTTCTAATTTTCCGTAACGCACATTTTAAAATTTGATATTTATGACTAATAACTGTAGGAAAGTTATGAATTCATGGTTCATTTTCTTATTCTGTTTTACATTATTTATATTTATATTTTGTTTATTACATGAAAAACGCTTTATAAATGTTGTTCTAATACACCTCAGTAAAATGTATACAAATCTTTTTTATATATTTATTAATTTTATTACCTTTATATATTATCTGATAAAACATATTATAAAAAATTAAAAACTTATTTTTGACTGAAGGTTTTTTATATTACCATTATTTTCATTTTTCTCGGCATCGGGTAAAACACTTTGAAATTCGAAACTTTGAAAACTAGTGGATCAAATTCACTTAATGTTGGCGTGTTAACTGTAATACCTTTGGCGAGGCTTGTGTTAAATAATTAATATATCATTAGGTATAATATTAAACGAAGGAAGTAGATTAAAAAGTATAGAATAATCAACCGAACCGAAAGTCTTAGCAAGTTTTAGAAATTTGGCTAGTGTTTTTTTACCTTTGTCAAGTTAGGTATCACCTGGTATATGTAATATGTATGTTAGAGGCTTAACAATATTATTTGCTATACATTTTAACATTTGTACAGATACACCATCAAATCCTACGTCTGTTTCATAGATTAAGTTTCTAATCATTTGGGGAAACTTCTGATTCATTTATAATTTCATTAAAATAGAGATCAAATAGTTTATTTGTTGTATCTTCTACACGATCAGGATTAATTATGTTATTCTTTGCAAGATTTTTACCAATATTAGTAAGAAATGAGTTAAATAAATTAGTGAATTTATGTGGGTTTTCGTCAGTGTAAATAATATTTTCACCATTTTTAACTGATTTAATTTTATCACTGTCGTTCCTTTTCGAGTCTAAAACATCTTTGATTACCTTTTACGTTAGTTTTAGACTATTCGAAACTTTATTTAATTTATGTTTATAAAAATTAGTTTTATCTGCTCTTAAAAAGTATGTAAATTTATTTTTATATTTTGTGAAGTAAGCAAGAAGTTTATGATTATTAGCGTGTTTTACTTTAACTTGAATTTATAATTTATTGTTTATCTCTCAAAGAACAAATTAAACCAGAAGATATTCACTCTTTTAAACGTTTATTTTCAGAATTAATTAATTTTGTTGATATTGACATACCAATGGTCACAATTATTCTGTTTAATAATGAGTCAACACATATTAACATCATTTTCACAATAGATATCATACCACATATCTTTAACAAGTATATCATTTAATTTATTATAATTAATTACTTTTAAAACTTTATCAATAGAATTTATTATTGTATCAGTACCTATTGATATAATAGTGGAGTAGTGGTCTGTAATATCTGTGTAACTTCTGCATTTATATTCGTATTTTTGTGAAATATATGATCTAAACATGAGTGATTTGAATTCAATGAAGTTCTCGTGTACATAATTATATAAAATTTAAAGCCATACTCTGAGATAATATCCAAGTATAAAATATTATCATGGTTACGACCTATTGTATTTTATAATCA